GTTCCAAACAGAGGGGAAAAAAATATAACGTGTTCAATTTGGCTAATTATCGTCAAGCCAGATAACTGCACAGTACATAAGATAATTTTTTTCTAACCAACGTTTCTGACGAATAGTTTTATTAAATTTGGAGGTATTAGCCTGTTTTTGAACGATAGAATTTCTGGTATATTTCTGGTATTTTGAGCTAGGCAATCTGGTATTCTCGCCAAGAAAAAACCTGGCAACACTGGTGCTCGCGTGTTGTCCGGCGATTCATTAAAATTCAACGACGCTTCCTGTAGCGAGCTTGCTCCTGGCTAAGGTAAAGTTTCTATCTGGTTTACATATTTTAGTAGAAGTATTATTTGATTTGATTATTAGTCAATTGCCCGGTATGCTCGGCTCAATTTTTTCTTTAGTAGGGCGCTACGGGTACGGGTTACTAGTAATATGACTGAATCTGAAGTTGTAACTTTGTGTGTGTATAGAATCTGTCTCTTATACACATCTAGATGTGTATAAGAGACAGGTTTATCATAGTCGCCTTTCACAAAATTCAAACGCTCACGCTTCCGAGGCGTCTATTCTGTACAGCACTTAAGTCTGAAAAACAATGATTGGTGATGGTTTTTGCCCAACGGAGCCTATTCCTAACACGGCATCAGGACATTTATATCGACGCTTCTGATGTCAGCTGGCGCGGTATTTTTATATTGTTCTCGGTGCGGTAGGTAACTTGGATGTTGCCGGTGATTGTCTACGAGGATGTCTATCCTCCTTTATTCAAGGTGTATTGTCATGACAGAAATGTAGGAAGCGATGGTTTCTTCTTAGCTGTTTTGGATAATTTATTCAGCACGAAGGAAATAAACATTTTCAAGCCTAACTGGGAGATCTTGTGGATCAGAGTGGAGCTGAAAAGCGGGGGAAGCATTCTAATAGGAAGAAGCTATTATCAACCTTCGGACTGTAATGTGGAAAGCCCAAATGAAATGATGGAGTTATCAAGACGTGTGTGTTTGACCTCCTTCGTTGTTTTGAAGGAAAGTCAATTTTGATGTTTGGGACATAGAGGAGTGGTGTGCTGAAATTGAAATGGTATCTTACCTGCGTCTCAATAAGACTCGTCAGTTCAGGGATAACATCGCTGACCTCGGCATGAAACAGATAATCGAGAAACCAACCAGTTGAGTCCATTCCCTTAATCCGGCGGTGACGAACCAATCCAACAAGTTCACTCGTAACTTACTTACGATTAAGCCTGGCCTTTATGACTACGAAGTTATCTGCACCCATCCTGCTCTAAGTTGCCCCCACAAACCAAATGGATGTATTTAAAGTGAGGCTCACTGGGCCTTCCTGCACAGATGTTCTAAAAACCTCGCCTTCCTCGCATTCTGTATTTCCCGATGCTCAGGTAATCTGATTTCTCTCAAGACGAGTCTTATTGATCTTTGAGTACAGTTCACTGTTCAAAACAGATTGGACACAGAAATAATGAACAGTGGATTGATGGGTTTATTTAGATACTACGCGGAGAGCTACTTCACCCCATACGAAAGGACGTCATTTATGTGTGGGATCCTTATACTGCAGAAGATATTGCCACATTTGAAAAAGTACAGCATAGATGAACACGATGCTTCTCGCATCGTTTCCGTCCGGCTTCCAGGGTAGAAAACATTATCCGAACTATGTGATGATCGCTGTTGCAAGCCAGGCAGATCCATGCAAGTCTTAAGATATTTAACAAAATCACCAAAAACCTAGGCGGATATGTGATGGCAAACGCCATCACATATTCGCCATCGCATGCTCCATTCAAAACGTCAGAAAGTCCCACCCCAGCAGTATGTTGTCCCCTTCAGCAGTAATGCCTGCGAACATGTCTCATCACCATCGTCTGACGTCTTTCCGGCAAGCGTTAGAATAGAATAGCAGTGTCGGCACTGAAGAAATAGGCCCATGGCCTGTTGCCGATTCTTGAATTTTTCGTGACTTGATTCGCAAGGGATCCGGCCTATGGAACCCGATCGTCCCATAACTGACGATTGATTGAGAATTTGAGATAGCTACTGGACTTATTGCCTGGTCCTGGTAAATGACCTCTTGTAAGAGTGTCTTCGTTTCGGCTGCTGCTATTTTATTTATCCCTTATTTTAGACTTTTTATCATATGTAGTCTTTTTTTGTTTCGTTATTTATTAGTTTTACACGATCACGAAGCTCACCAGTTTCTCTTTATTTTTAAAGTATTGGTTTAGTGTGTCGAGGCTGATGAATTTTATCATTTCCGTGCCTTTAGTGTGTGTGGCCTATTCTAAACAAAAACTTACTTTAAAAAGTGTTTTAGATTTATCAAACGATTAAGGATTGCTAGATTCTGCAAGCAACTAAAAAGAGAGAAAAAAAACAGACATTTCCCGGTCACAATGAATTTGGAAAGAGGGCGCACATTTGTCTGACGTCCGCGAGTCCGACCGTAAATTTGTCCAAGACGTTGACGAGTACTACTCCACCCCGAATGGCATTTATAGAATATACTTAGAAGTTTCTGGTAGTTTCATACTGAGAAGGAGATTTTTATTGAAGCTAAATTCGTTTGAATAAATAAACATATAACAAAGAATGTCTATGATTTCATGAATTAAGTTCAGAAATTCGAACAAAATTCTATTTATTGTTCTCAAAATATTGGAGCGGTACTTAACATTTTTCAATTGACAAAAAAATGTTAATTCTCACAAATGCGTTTTGAAATAGAACAATTGTGAAAAATTAGACTTCTGAAATTTGTATTCAAATTTTAGATGAAATGCATCTGGCAACATCGTGTCTTTCTAGGAGTGCTCGCTACTGTGGTCTTTACTCTTTCAGTTATATTTTATTTTATATCAATGTGTACAACAGTACAGTTACCATGAACGATTATATATTTCTTGGGACCTGATAGTTTTGAATTAAGAATCTTGAGCTGGGTTATAACTGTTATATATGAATAATTAAATATGATACTAAAATTTTTGTCTGAAACTATGTTTTCATTTGACTTTCAGTTAACCATTTGGATCATATTCACTGCCAGCTCTTGATGTAGGGAAACGTATACAAATTTTAGCTTACTTCAAGTTATTTCCTTGCAAGAAATATGTAAAGCTATCAATTCTCTTGTCTTATAAATTAAATGCCTGGATTTTCCCCAGTGTATCTCTGAACATATCAATAATAGCTCGTGTCAAACTCCACCGCTGGCAGATGGTATCTAGTATTGCCTTTTGGAAATGGCAGGTTTTGATAAATTTGTTTTTACGAAATGCAAACATTTTGGCCTCGTAATGATTTTTCATTGCTGCGGGTTTTTCAAAAACTGATAGCCTACTACCGTCACAAACTTCCTAGCTTTTTATATAAAGTTGGACATTGTCAAAATTTTGGCTTAAATGTTCTTCCAGACTTGACTGAGGTGCTATGTTTCTCAACTTTGACAAATGTTTGAATGGCCTTGGATTGTGAATTTTTTTATGAATATTTGAATAATTAAGTCTGTGCATTCAAAACTGCCCTGTTATGCCAGCATTTGTTATTGCTCCATGTGCTAAGTGTTGGCTAATGCTTTGTTCCTGTTGATTTAATGTCAGGTGTATTATATAGAAAATGAAGATTGAACATTTGCTTTATTGTAGTCTTATTTATTTCATATTGCCAATTTTTTTTAATAGAATCTAGCACAAAACGTTTCATTTTGCAATTTTGGATGCTGGCTGACATAAATGTTGAATGGAATGGGTATAAAATGAAGCATTATGTTTTGATTTTTCATGAAAAAAATTACACAGTTGGTAATTGAAGCTTGTTATTGTTTGCTTGATACAAAAATTTTCATATTTCTTTCCATGTTGTTAATTACTGTTAACTTGTGCTTGAGTGTCACTAAGACATTAATCATGAAAACAAGTGAAGGCATGCTTCTGGGCTTAGGTTGGACACTTTCAGTGCTGTCTTACGTTTCAATGGTTGCTTAATAATGTCTAAAAGACTTCATCAAATCAATGTACTTAGTTTTCAAAGCACCATGCATGTGATGGCTTAAAAGCTGAGATTCAGAAATGAGGTATATGATTTCCTATCAGTTTGAACATCAAAGTAATCTGAAGCTACACAATTGAAGCTGAAGGCTTTCTCCCTGTATATGTCTGAGTCAGCTCAGTGTTGTCAATCAATATACCCCACGCTAATTAAGCCGGCAGGTGTGCAAAAGCATGACTGTGTGCTACAGGTGGGCACAGAAAACTTCAGTGCTGTGTAGGTACAGCTCTCTGTGTTGTACCAAGAAGTGCTTGATACAAATAAACTTAATTTTATTAGATGTTCATTAACTTCTTTTTTCATGTGCTATCGATGGGTTAAGATTATTTTTCTTAGGACAAATTTAGATTGTGCATTTGATATGCATGATTATCATCGATTATATACACTTTCGGGACAGTTATTTTGTTTGATAATAGGATTTGAATTTAATTAAATTTGGCCTAATTCACCTTAGTGTTCAAAATGACAATTGTTTTGATTAATCTTTTGATTTGCAGGAAAAAGGAATCCATCGGAATGGCTCCAAGCGCATCCAAGAAGTCAAAGAAGCACATCGAGAGCATTAATGCTCGTCTTGCTTTGGTAATGAAGTCCGGCAAGTACAGACTGGGCTACCAACAGAGCCTGAAGGTGGTGCGATCTGGCAAGGCAAAGCTCGTCATCATTGCCGAGAATACCCCAGCTCTGAGGTTAGACTGCGAAACTACTTGATCACGGCTCTTGTTCTGGTTCCCTGATGCTGTCAAGGTTTTCATCTGCTTACCTAGCAGTTGGAAGCCATGTCAGTGTCAGGTGAGCTGCACTAGTGATGTGATCAAGTTGTGGAGTCTTGAAATGGCTCCACGCTTTGTATGGTCCTGCACCGAGTGGCAGTAAGCAAATGTAACTTAATCCTATAAGTAGCAGACTGAAGATGACGCAATACTTGCTTCTTAACTTGCTTTTCTCGCGTGCTTGTATTTTCAAAGTAGACGTTTGTCATTGTTTTTTTTAGCGGAGACTATTCATTTCGATTATTGTTGTGACCTTGTTGACAATGTTGAAGATTATGCGAGTATATTTACACTAATGTGTATATTTCCATATCTTGAGTGCATATTCCTTGACGCCTCAATTGATTCTGCCCGGACGCCACACCCGTGCTCTCTTCGAGTAATGCAGGTGCCAGTCTGAGAGCAGAGATCAAAAGCTCTCTAGGAACTAGTTGTGCACAAGTGCTTCTGGGCCCACGAGTGGCTAACACTATAGCAATTAAAAGCATATTGGATCATTTTTTTTGTTTTGATCATATTTTCAGTGGAGCCAGTATTCATTGTTGGTTATGATCTGAAAGTGTCAATAATTGCATTAGAATTGACGTCTGACGTTCAAGATTTGTACCAATGGCTTATATTTGAAATTTGTGGTATCTGTTCACTGAAGCGTTCACGGTATTTTTTTAATTTTAATGAAAGCATATCTCTGATAAGCTTGATTGAATAGAAATACTAAAGAGTTGGCAAGTTTATTGCATCTTCTGCTCAGACGCCACACCTACGCACTAAGAGTCGACAGGTTCCAGTCTGTAAGCGGAGAGAAATTGACGCTTTAGGAACCAGGTTCTATGAAAGTACTTGGGCCGAAGTTGCCAACAACAGTTCATTGAAAAAATTCGAGGTCTTGGCTCTAAGCTTAATTTAAAGCCGAGATGCGAATTACTGTAAACTACAGTGTACCATTATAAAACCTTAGTTTGGTGCTTTATGAATGTCGGGAAGTGTTATTTTTTAAGAGCTTTCGTTACAGATCTCGAGTGTTAGTTTTCCGCCTGTCAGTCTTCTAAAAGTCATAATTTAAAAGTTATGACGTCTCGTGGCAGGCTAGATAAAATGCCAATCAGGATACGTGATGCCTTGAGCATATGCGTGTTGTTGTTGGCTACATTTTTAGAGTTCTGGAGGAAATTATCTGGGCACGGTTCAGACATTGTCGAAGATTTGAGTAGTGAATTAGACTATGATTGAGCTATGACTAGATTCACGAAGCAGAATTAATCACTCTGGTTTACTGGCTCCTACTTGAAATTGTTGATTCAGCCAACCACATATGCCATATTTTGTGCTACCTGCACGGCCCGCAGCACCTACGACTGTGTAGAGTAGTAAAGTGCCAGTCTGAGACCAGAGGTTGAATTACGCTTCAATAATCGGCCACTCGGACTAGCTGGGTATAAGTTAGACAGTTTTGGCTATTGATTATTTAGAGATGTAGCTCTTGATTCTGTTGAACTTTTTTATCTCTTCTTTCATATTGTATCTTCCGTCTTTAATTTAGGTTCATTGTTCATAATCCTAATCTCTTGCTTATCGTTGTTCGAAGAGAATTATTTTTTTTATTTAAAAGCTAAGCAATTTCGCCCTGGGAGCATATCGAGGTTTTAAATAACTGCTCGTTGATAATTGACAGGCTTAGTTTTTAAAGTGGACTTTTCCTTCGCAGGAAGTCAGAGATTGAGTACTACGCAATGCTGGCCAAAACTGGAGTCCATCACTACAACGGCACCAACGTCGAGCTCGGCACTGCATGTGGCAAGTACTTCAGCGTGGGCACCTTAGTCATCACTGATCCCGGTGACTCTGATATCATCAGGACCATGCCTACTGGTGATCAACAGTAAATTTGATCCAAATGCAGAAGAGTTTTTTTTATTGAACCTGTTCGGTGATATTGGTGAAAAGCAAAGAAACTAGATGGGTAGCAAGATTTTTCGGTAGAAATCGTTGATGAAATTGTATGAGAGCTCTAATTGGCTACTAGCGGACCGTTTCATTAAGCGACAATAATTCTGAACCACTCTCGTTCACGAATAAGAATTAACAAGTCAGCTAGGTTCTTTCCACTAGCTCACTCTCGCAAATGTTTATTTAATCGAAATAGTTGACATCCCAAAAGCATAGGGCACCATTGCATTATACATACTTCTTGTGTGCCGGGTACTAGAATCACCTGTCAGGAATCGCTTCGTCATAGCATCGATTCGTATTCGGTGTATGTTTTGATTCTGGTTTCAGTGTGGCTGTGACTAACGTCGAACCAGGTTGCTGCCATCCGCAGCTCGGCTAGGAAAATTTCAATCTACTTGAATTGATTTTATGTGCTCTGGAACCTGAATTTTTTAGAGGTGGCTGGAAAACTGTAGATCGTTGGTTTGCTCGAGAGATGCTTGCTCCAACGCAGATCGAGAGGATCTAAAAATTCAATTCCTCCAAGTAATTTGAATTTGCCTGTCTGGTGTCACATCTTGAATATCTAATTTCGGGCTTTACTTCGCTTCGTAACAGCGGGAGTGCTCTGTTGACGCTGAGATTTGCTTGACCTGCCTCATGTTATTACATCTTGCTTCGCTTATAGTCAAAATGCCGTGGAAAAACTAGTTGAAAGAAATCGTCGCTGATCAAGAACCCTTGATTTTCTATTCCTTAACGTTGACTCGAATGATTGAATGGAGCGTTATTCGGAAAGAAGCAAACTGTCGCAACCGGTAGATCGGCTGACCAATCTTGACGGCCGTGGTCAGTCCGGTGAAGAATCTACCAGCAACAAGAAAGCAACTGGCGATCCGGTGGTTCCTGCAATTGATCACCGTGACACGGTGGAAAGCGACGACGGTATCTCTGAGGCTGAAGCCGGCTCAATATCAAGAGGCTCGTCGGCATGCAAAAATATAATCGGTGAGCGACTTGGGCATGTATGCTCTTTTTGTGTTCAACTCAAGTCAACAGTTACTGATTTCTGTTAAATGACTGCGATTTCTGAATTTGTTGCCTCTAAAAATTGCGATGGTTGGAAATCGTAACGCGTTGGTATTATATTAAATGCATGCAGTCGTTGGTCGAAAATCTAATTATTCTCTAGGGTTTCCGAATAAGTGTAATTTATTAAAAAGAGCAAGATCGTCTTGCCTGCTATTTTTAGATATATATATTTTTTACCACGCGTTCAGCATCAACGTGCCAATATTATAGAAACATGAACTTAGTAAATTGTATTCGTGATGTTATTTCTTCGTTTTTTTTCTGGTGAAGACGAAGCCGAGGAGTTGCTGGAAGAGGTTTGTTTTGTTACCATCAACGCCGGCAAGATCGCATCTGAGGAAGTGAGAGAGGTGTGAACCGTCTTTCTCTATTGGTTATTTATGTACTACATAGTGAAATACGTGCATCCTCTTCAACCACTATATGCGAATTAGCCCAGAAATTTAAACGTAATATCCATTATTACATCTACATTAGTTTCTTGCCTCAATGTTCTATAAATAAAGTATTACCCAGTATGGGAACGATTTTACCACTAGTTTGCATATTCTGGAAGGGTTTGGAGTTGCTCACCGCTCCGGAGGAGGATGCGAAGTTTGGCGGCGGTGATGTTGTAGCAGCAGTGCTGACGTTGGTCACCTTCAACATCGACCTGATATCTGATCTGCTGCTAGCGCGACATCTTAGCCAGGGAGATGATGTGGACCGCCGTTGGGCAGTGGCTACCTTCTGTATGACTGGTACTTTGAAGTGTGCAGTAGTGGTTCATTACCAACTCGAAGATTCTGGTTATAAAGAATCAAATGAATACTTTTTGCCTTTTGCGCCAAATTATTCTATGCTTTTGGGTGTTAACAGGTTATGCTTTTAATATTTTGAACTGTTATAGATAACTAGTTTTTGTATACGCTGTAGACGAATATTGATGTTGGGATTTTCTGTCTCCTTGAGGCTGTGTGCGATGTCTTGCGTTTCTTAAGTTTCACGAGAATTTCACATGTTGCAGTAGTTCCGCTGGTAGTGGTGAACGGATTCAGCCTCTATTGGTACTGGTTTGATTCCCACCCTCACACCAAGACGATCGTAGCCGCTCTCCCGTTGGAAAATGTCGATGAATGTGACAAACGTTTTGCGGCTGATGAAGATGCTTCAGATGCGACTTCAGAATCGCCTCCATCTGCTACCAGTAATAACGATCGTTATGAAAAAGAAAATAACATCTCTGTCGGAATGAACAAAAATGAACGAACAATCTCTCGAGATAATTCATTGGGCACTTTAAACGATCCTGCAGCGAACACAAGCGACGAGTTAAATTGTTTTAACAGAAACGCGAATATTGTAGCGAAAAGCCCTTCAAGTAGTTTGAAATCCCATGGAGCTTGCATAAAAAACGAGGAGGAAATTATTGATGCCAAGAACGAAATTAGTTTTCCTCATCAAAATCGAGTGAAGTTGACGATGGTTTGGTGTCTTCGGTTTTTATTTCATTTTACTATGCAAGCAAATTCTTTGCGGTACGTAGGATTCTCGTGCATTGCATAATCTCGATTTTTTTTAGCCAAAAACTATTGATGTTTGATGATTTGATAATGACGTTTGACACGTCGATAACCTAGCATCAATCATGGCATTTGATCCTTCTTTGTTATTATATGCATGATCATTGTTTATTGGGATAATGTTACTAATTGATGATTATACTGCCTTAAAGATATAAGGTTCTCAAACATTATTCGTTCAATTATGTCAGCGTCACATGTATTGCAGTCAGCTGGATTTACTCTACTACGGCACGCGCAGCGTAGCAACTGTTCGACAGAAGCACAATACGCACAACGCTCGAGCTTTTTTCAAGCCTAAATCCCTTGGTAAGAAAAAAGAAAAATTTTCTTTGTAATAAAATAATTTTTACATTCCTCGACAGGACTGAACAAAGGAACGACCTAAACGGAAGTCAAACCATCACTAGTAAAGCAAGTTTGTGCTAAGTGGTTCACCCTTTCGTAACGGCAATGTGTTCTACAACTTTTTATTCGTATTTTTCTACAGTATCATCATGAACTTGGACCGAATATTGCATCTCCGTAAAAAATAATTATATACATGTTAATGGGAAAAATTATATAATTGGGACTAGAAAATCCCGGTATTATATGGTTCCAACTGAGGTGACACAATTTGCGACATCACTGATTTTGATAAAAAACAACATTTTCGTAATATTTTTTGTTAGTGGTTGAATATTATCACAAACTTCCTTTGGCAAACGCGTGTAATAGCTTATATAATATCATATCCCAGAAAGAACAAATATTATTATTCCTTTATTAATTACGTTGAAAAATTACTCGACACATCGAAATAACAATTCTAAAGCCCGTCAAATTGCGCATCCACACGCGCTTCGTCCAGCACATATAATTTTCTTTGATAGCATCACGCGATGTCTCGAATAACAAATGTAGCGTTTCTATTTTTAAGTCATGAATTGGGTCGGATGTTTCGGAAACAAATGGATCTTTTTTATTGAACATTTGCTACGCACAACATATGTCAGAACACATGAATTTAGTATTCTTTCAAATTACCAAATACTACAGTACATATACTTGGAGTTCCTGTTTTAAATAGTTCCTTACCTAATTCGAGACTGTAATTTCAGCTATGGAAAATCGCTTCTACTTGAAGAATTTCTATGTTTATTTTATTTCAAATTCTTTTAATGATTAGTATGATTGAGAATTTTTCTCGGAATACATTTTTGTTGATTGAGTCCAATCAAAGCATTCGTGACGAAGAAGGGACATTGCGTGATTACCTGTTCCATGATTGCTGGCCTGACCCGACGTTATGGATTCGGTGCACGATATTGTTCTGGCATACTGATGTTCTTGAGAATAGCTTGGACACCGACTGCCCAAGAGACGATCGCAACCGTTCAGTGTGCATTAAATTGTTAAGGTACATGAATCTGCTTACGTGTAATTTTTTACGTGGCGAGTCAATATGTCTGTGTAGCGCAGTGGTTACATTTCATAGTACCAGGATTGCAGCAGAGGTGCGGGTTCGATCTCAGCTCTGTGCGTCAGTTTCTGGTCGGAATCGGCAGGGAGGCCGGGCGGTTAGGCAATGCAAATTTGGAGCAGTGAATTGCGAGTTCGAGACCGTAACAAGCTGTGAATGTTCTGCGATGTTAAGAATCGGCGACAGGCCTACGGCCTAATAAACGCTGAAACCGACATTGCATTGTATTATCATCTTCAACTTCAATTGTATTATCAATTTTAACTTTATTAATATTCGACTACGTTTGGTTTAATATTTACATATTATTCTAGATGGAGACCGATACGAGTCGAAACGGTCTGCAGCTTATTCCACTCGTCCGCCAGACGTTCGTGAAGGTTTTGAGGTTCCCGACTCGCTCGTAAAAGAAAAAAAGAGGTTAGAAACGATAACTGTTCCTCATTATAAGTATCTGTAAATGTGGTCTTAACTACTTTTATTACACAGTTACACGGAGATAATAAATTTCATACACCCAATGGTTTGAATTAGCTGTCATATATGTTTAGGAATGATATTTTATTCTCTTTTTCACCACGTTGAAATAATTTGTAAGAGTAAGCATTTTGTTTCCTTATAGCCAGTATAATAATTACGCAGGTTTCAGGAGCTCTGGTTGCACGCTGAGAGTGACGGTGCAGCGCTAGATCTGATCGGCGCGGTACTACAAGACGTTCCTCAAATAATCCTGCAGCTTTACTTGCTTGCGCTTTCGGTGCCTCTTCTGTCAGCGTCCGTCATGCAGTACAACAGATTCTTACAAGGATTCCGAATTGACTCTTGGCTCTTCGAGAAAATTTTCTCCGAAGTTATATCCACTAACTCGAGCAATCTCACTTCACTTATGGGCTATGATGTGGAATTTCACGTTGAAAATATTGTTGATGGTAATTTAGCTCTACCCGGTACTCAGTCCCAGCGTAATATCTATGAAGAAGCAGCCGGTAATTTTAATTACTCAGATTTAATGAGTTTGAATTACTCGTCCAGCGAATTTGCGAAAGCAGTTTTATTGAACAACTCAGAGGCATCTGTAGCGACGTTTGTTTTGAGGTTAACAGCACCCAAAGAACTCCTGCCAGATACTGAACAACATCTAGGTGAGTCTTCCGTTTATTTCATTAAAAATTTTCACCAGTGAGGATTTTCTTGCTTTTTAGTAACGAAACATTGCCTGCAATATAACGCAGAAAATACGTATTGTTATATCGTAATATGTCATTGCAATGTTTCGCATAAAATGTTAGTTTTCGAGGTCGTTTAAATTTTATTAATATAGTTCAATGGTCGACTACATTTTTGAGTTGTATTAAATGTTTGAACATTGTTATAAATTTTTATTTTCAGTTGCGCTGCAGTTACTTTGTCTGTGCGGCTCGCTGTGTGCCGTGTCGTGGTCAGCGACGTCGTGGGTGAGAGCCGTGAGGCTTGCCTCCCTCCGCCTCACCAGCCTCTCCCCCGCCTCACTTCTTATCCTCACGCTCGCTCACCTTACTGCCATCGTGCCACAGGTTTAATTTATCATGATTTCTTCATTCTTGATTTTCAAATTTGTCATCGTTGTAAAACGTTACCTGCTTATAACTGGAGGCAAGTCCTTTATTGTTGATTTATAAATCGCTAAGCCATTTATTGCACTGTGGTGTGATCGCTTTCAGGAACATTGTTTTAATTTATGCCTTGAATATGACCCATGAAATTCGATACAATTTGATAAAAGTTAATTTACTTTATAATATCAGAGTTTAGTTGACAAATCTTACTCAGGTGATGTGTTATGCGGCCCTGGCGACCACGTCACCGGAGCTGCTGCTGTTGGTATTGCTGCTGCTGTGGGCGCTTCACACGACCTGGATCCTGAGTCAGTTGGTTAAGTGGTCGCAGTCACGCAGACAACTGCTCGAGTGGTTCCCTCACGACATACGGACAGGTGATCAATTTATTCGCTCTTCATGTTAGGTTTCATGTACTTGTTCGCTCATTTAGGTTAACGAGCGAATGCTATTCCATTAATGTGGCCTTCCATTTTTTGTAAATATATTTTTCGAATTCTCTTCGTTTAATTTAGTTAGACTTCTTTTGTGACACACGGACAGCTGATATTTATCCGCGCAGTTGGGTTAACAATAGAATGAAGTCATATTGACTTGAGCATCCATTCTTTGTTTATGCTTCTTCAAATTCTGTTGATTTAGTTGAGTTACAGAGCTCCCCTTGTGTTAGTAATCAATTAATTGCGCAGGCTTGTGTCGACGTGCCGACGACGTGTGTCTGAGTGCTGCTCTGGCCCTAGTCTTCTTGCTGACATTCCTGGACGTCGCAGGCGACGAGTCTGGTGCGATGGCTGCAGCGCACGCGGCGCTGCGGCTTGCAGTTCAGCTCGCAGTAGCGTCTGCTTGGTGAGCTCAGATATAAGTAAAGAAGTTTTAAGCTTTGTGCAAATCGCTTATAAAATGAGGTTAAATATGGTAACACCCTGTAAGCATAAATAGTATCGTGCATATTATGCATGCATTAGAACTCAAGACGACAAGTTTATTCATTCTTTGTAATGTGCCAAATCGGCACCAATTCCCGGAATATTTTCATCAAGAATTTTTTTCTGTAACTACTAATTTTATCGATGAAGAACGCAACTTACACATATTTATTCAACTAAGTCTTGATGCCAAAATGTAATAAAGCAATGAATGCAATGTATGCAGGTACGTCTCGACAGGAGGTGTGCAGTGGGTGCAGCAGGGGCCGCTGTGGTTCGTGCTCACTGCAGGCGCTCTGCACGCCGCCCTCACAGCGGCCCACTACCACCTCACACGGTGGGCGCATGCGACCCACTTCCCTCCCAAGAAACGTAAAAGCTCATCTTTATAGCAATGAAAATCATGATAAAATGACCTTGACAACGTTAAATATACAATGTACAAACCAAAAGAAAGTTATGTGAAAAGCGAGTGTCATCTGACCCCGAGAGTCTTGTCCAGCTTTTAAAGAGAATAGTTAAAGTTTAAACAATTTGCTTGGAAATGCAAAAACATGCTTGAAGACATTATAATGTAAAAAAAATCATTGACCGCACTGAAAAAAAAATTCTGATACTTCTGATAAAGCGGCAGCAATGCAGCTCGCACTGAGCAATTGAAACTAGTCATTTAAGCGAACTTTGCACATTGAAGGCTTGTCCGCGCAATTGTTACAAATCAAATGATCTTGAAGTTGGAACAACTTGTTAAATAACTTTTGGCCACACTTCATATAGTATCGATAAATCTTATGTTGCAGAAACCTTGGACGACACGCGCTACGAGGACGAACTGAGAGGAGCAGGTGAAGAACAACCGCCCGAAACGAGTCGCACCGAAGTTGTTTGAAACTAGCACATTACGAGAGACAATTAGGAAACGCTTAGTAGCTCTTCTCCCAATACGGTAATATCATGAAAACATATTTTTTTGCGTTTCAAGCAGATCAAATCTGGAAGTATCATCCATGATTAAGCAAATTGAATTACATAATTATCTCGCATTATCTTGTCCATTGAAAATTTTAGAAATTGCAATATTGTGGATAAGGAACTAAATCATGTCTTGTAACGATATCAAAGTTGCAGAACCGTTGCCACGTCAATAAAGGGGGAATGAAACTAAAATTGGATTATTATTCCTATACTGGAAGAGAAATATAATCAATAACACAGTACATTACATCTCTTCAACGTCAACTTATAGAAGTACAAGAATACTGATAAACAGGAATGAAAACGTCAACTTATTGAATCGTCTGTCAGGAGTAAAAAACATGAAATGACGATCCGTTGCATTCGCATCCCGTTAACAAATGCCAGGTAACAGAAGTGAGCAATAACGGACTTGTACAATTTCTGTTGCTTTTGGTAATGGTTATAGTTACAGCGGAAGAAAGCGGTTCAATCATGGCTAATGCTGGACATTTTTCTTTGGGCAAATGTAATATTTTGCTCAGAAACTGAAGTTCAGCAATCGAAACTTAGACAATAGACAAAATCACAGGTTTCACGAAGCAAATCCAATAGCATACAAATGCTCCGCATCTACATGCCTGACTACTATGTTAGCACACTGCACAATGTACGGTGATTGTTTTCAGGATTTTATCACCTTGCAGTAGTAATAAATAGTTGTTTATCAACACAGTACGTTGATATACTTTGAAATTGCACGAAAAAAAGATTGCCTGTGTAACACAATGAACAGTTCCCGCATAATAATGCCCAAGCCAATTCGTTACCTTAGGGGATAAAATTCATCTCTTAAAAGTTAAAGAAGCCTTACGCTACAATGAAAGACTCTGGGTAATTCATCATAATTATAAAAACATTTAGTCCTTTTAAGTGATCACAAGAAACTCGTCGCAAGACATAACTCTGCACAACCCTACAAAAAACTGGAATCAATGAGCACAAAGGTTGATGTATCAAACGGCAGCAAGAAGTAGGACTTGCAGCTACGCGATTCATGAGAAGCGGAATCAACAGTTTTCTAGAAGTTATGAAATTGACGACGGTTTAATCACAGCAAGTGAAACACGAGAACAAATCAACGGCAAATTAATCGTGTTTGGTTCACAAACAAATTTTACATTCCAAAATGATCTTTCCACAATAAAGGCTTTCCAGGTGCATATCAACGTGGAATAACTGGAAACTTGGGGCGACATGATTTTAATACTGACAGATGATACCACTGGAGTTATTCAGTAACTGCGATGATTCTTACGACTCATCACCACTTGACAGTTGCTCATAGTCGTACATTTTTGAAGGAGAGTCACTCTCGGTATCAGCACTTGATTGCTTTACTAACTGAGCAAAAGTTCCTTGAGCTACGTTCATGCTAAAATCTCCTTCAGATGCGTGGATAGCTTTCGTTACTTTCCGTTTGCGAACATTTCGTTTCTTTTTTGTTGGCTCTGACGCATCTTCCATCGCACTATTTTCGGAAGAGGAAGGATCTGAGCTTGATATCGGGATATCAGATGAATTCGAGTCTGAAAATGAAGACGTTACATCAGAAGTGTCATCATTCCAGACATTGCTTTCAGTTTCGCCCGGGGAGTCACTACAAGATGCTACTGGTCATAAACGATATCTCCCAGTGATGGAAGAGATGCTGAAACGGCTTGTACTTTCATCAGCGCTGGAGTTGGATGCGAGGAAGCTGGAAATATTTATTTCAGAAGACGTGTCTGAGTCAACGTCCTCTCCCTCATCATTTCTTCTCAACGAGGGCGTGGATAATCCACGACCATGATTTACTGCTCTAAAATCATAAGGATTGTATGAGCCTTGCTTAGTTCGCAAAAGAGAGCAAGAAATGCGCGCGACGACTTCATATCTCACACATTCCATTGCCATTAGTTTAGAAAACTTACGAGGGATGCAGAGAATATCACATACACTCCTAGTCATTGCCATGTTGAGATGCCATTCTAGATTTCTGCAGGTGGCGCATAGTCTGCGCAATTCAAAACAACTTTGGCACGATATCACAGGTTCTGTTGCAGTGATAGCTTCTCCATTGACGATCATTCCGCTTCTGATGCCAACAGGGAAAACAATAGGCCCAACGAAGCGTAGAGCATAGCCATGCGTACGACGATACACAAGAGTCTTCGCGCTGACAAGACTTTTAAAAATGCGACGCATGCATAAAGACTGAAGGCTACCTCGATTGCCGAAAACGTGATACACGAGGTCACCACTCATTTCCCTTAGGTCTTCTTCCAGATAGCCAAACTGAGAAAGAGTGGCTATGTTCATGATTACTGGGAAGGCCGATCTAGTGCATCGTACAGGCAATTCTGCGAGAGGTCGAACCACAGCATCTAAGACATGTTCAATACTCGAGACGGCATCCAGTAAGTTAGGAGGATAAGTCACACTGTCATTTTTATTTTCTACGACAGTCCACTTCTTAACGTGGTCTTTCCAGTAAGAACTTTGAAGAAGAGGCATGATGAAAACGGGCTTCGGGCCTCGGAATGTCTGCTTGAAAGGCTTGTCCGCAGAAACTGCGCATTCAAATTCATCGTTCAGTCCTTTGATCAACAAAATTTTGGCTAACTGAACATGTCCCATAAAGATGCAACGCCAGACATACTCCGAGTGTCTCGCTTGCAAGTTTGAACGTCTCAGAATATTTTCCATTCGGGTTTTTTTGTTTTGGTCTACGCGCTGGTAAAGATCGAGGAACTTGTTCATTTGTTCGGTCAGGTTGACTGACAACTTGCCGGCCCGAGATAAAGCTTCGGCCAATTCAATATCACCACACCCCAACACGATGTCCAATACCATCAGGTCTTGGGCGATGGGCACATTTGACATAGTCATCATGTAGCAAACCACTTGGAATGCTTCAGATCTAAAACGCGAGTAGTCTTCTAGCGAGCATTTCATAACATGTCCGTTCAAATCATATGCACTGCGAACCAAATTTTCTCTAATATGTTCATCAATCCAGATTGAGGAGGAAAATGTAGTCTTGGTTAAATAGAATTCATTCAGAACAGTCGAGTTCTTTATTTCTTCAGCAGTGAGGGATAAGTCGAGATTTTCGCTAATCCACTTATAGCATTCATAACGCATCAACAGTTGCACAAAAGGAGCTTCAATGGATCGCAATTTCCGTTTATTGGAGGCTTCATTGACACGGTGATGACCGAATGAACCGAGTTCATCATTTTGATCAAACAGCTTTTTGAATTTCATCGGAGTAGGCTCTACTCCACATCTAAGTAGGGCCATAACAAGTTGAAGATGCAGTGTGTCAGTAGCAGTACAAGTCAGAAACAAGGGCCCTCCTCTAGTCATCTCTTTTTTAACTATGAGACTGAGCTGGGTTAGCGCGTTGATGTTAGATGCCTCATGCTCTGGCACATCTTTAAGCGCTGCAACTTTTATTTGAAGAAATTCGTTTAGACTACTCTCGTTGAAGTTTTCTCCATCGGTATCAGAACTTTCTTCTGTCGTTTTAGAACCAGAATTCAAGAAAACACACGGTTCTACAGCAGCTTCAGAATCCACAAGCGAGTCGATTGAGTTCACGCGCAAGTTGGGGTTTGTGAACTTAAGAAGAAACTGGATTTCTTTATCAAATTCGGCGCGAGTTAGAACCGCAGGAGTTTCTGAACTGACATGTCTTGAAGTACTTCCAGTATTCCACATTTCCTCTAAAGAAGCTCCATTTTGAGTCTCTAGATTAGTCCGATAATTTTCTGCAGCGTTAACAGGCGTTGCTAATCTTTCAGGAACCGCTCTTGCTTTTCCAGATTCTGTAGGATTCAATTTTGTTTCAGAAACCGAGTCAAAACACTCCAGTCTAACTACATTACTGGTTATTCTGTTTTTGTCTGGTTTCAAGGAACCAATAGATTTTTCACACTTTTGTAAGCGCACAGCAATTGGGGCTTGAGTTTCGACCTCATGAACTATGCTACAGTTTGCAACAGGGTAGCCTACAGGGCACTTGCATTCTAAGCATTCCGACTTCGTATCAAAGTTAAATTGGGGAATCAAATTTGGGTATCTTTCACGCGTTTCACGGCACTTTTCGAAAAACCTCATGCAAGTCTCTACAAGAGACAGAGGACGTGTTGTATTTTCTTCTGCAAAAACGGTTACATTTTCAGAATTCTCTTCAGTCCAAGCCCAAAAGCATTCAGGGTACACAAATTTCAAGATCCTCAAGACATCGGGGAACTTTTTCTTGCAAATGAGAAATTTCAACGGGTTTCTGTACATATCAACTTGTTCGTCATCCCCGTCGTCTCTAGGAGTTACGGGTACGTTGGTATTTGCCGTAGAACGATCCATTTCGAATCACGAGATCAAATTGCTTTAAAGAAAATCCAATACAAATGAAACTAATCCACTGCATATAAAGTATTGTCATAGAGAACAATTGAAATCTGACAAATCCTGAACCACGAAACCTGTGGAAGAAGCCAGTCACAATTTAAAGCAAAGAATATCAGGGTATTACGCTTGTTTCATGGTTACATGATTAACCGATCACACTTAAATTGTTTTGATTTAGAGGGGAAAGAAAAGCTCTTGAAAAGCTACAAATGCTGCGGTGAGTTTGTATGCTAATGCTTTGTAGTTGTATTCATCCAACTTGAGCAAAATACTAGCAAGTGCAACTTTTTTTTTGTTATACTCGGTTATTAATAACACATGCATAATGCGTATACCTATCCTATATTAAATTTCGATGAGAAGATTTAGAAATAATATAACAAATGGACGGAGTATGTCAATAATAATTTCTACAGCACATACAACAAAGGACTCGGGAACCCGAGGAGCGTCCAACTCCCCTGCTGTGAAGTAACTTCCAGCCCCTGAGGTATTCAAAACTCATTCATACTTTCTATGATCACAATTGTCTACATGAATTATGCATGCAATATATATGCATAATACTGATAATACATAGAATTATACATAGCGTCGCTATGCCCTGTATTGAACGATTCCCCCCAAAAGTTGATTCAGGGATAAAAATATAGCAGGACTCTACTAACTGCCGGTAGTGCCCGGTACTACCAAAAGAAGGAATGAATCATCAACAGGCATATATTTTAGTGTTTATTTAACTTTCATAGATAGTGAGTAGTGTAGATGTCAATATAATAACATTCTGAGAGTGAATCGTGGCACAAAAAGGTAATTATTAAACATATTTGCAGCGAATGGCAACAAAAAGGCGGCGACGTGGTAAACATTTTGGTGAGTTGCGTTCTGGTAATGTAAAACGTAGATATTTTATTGCTTTGTTATTAACAATAGTCGGCAAGAACGGATACGATATTATACATTCAGTTGGAACAATATTAAAAACAAGAAAAACTCCCAGCCACAAGTTTCAGGGTTGATTTGCGTAGGGAAAACCTGATGACGTCATAATTTTAGATGACGAAAATATCTATAACGTAAAAAAACAACAACAACAACAACAAAAATATAAAAAAATAATACCTGACCCGTTTGAACTTACGGAAGATAATTGTATTGAAATGGAGGATTTTACTTCAAAATCTAAATAATTATCAATCACAGCACATAAACATTGAACATAGAACAGAATAGAAGTGCAATATAAAATGGAAAATACGTCTCGCTGATGGAAGCCGCATTGGCATAATAATGATGATACAGCTTTGTTGACGCACTGACGCCATCATAAGATACAAGTTGTCGGTATGCAACAGGAACAATTGCCGACTTCATTAACTCGTAATAATAATAATGATCAGATAATTCGTGTACTTATATATCGAGTAACACGAACACGCACAAGAACCGTAGCAACAGGGCTACACGAACACTACGACTCACGCACACGAATGCTACTCGTAAAGAGAACAGTGACTTGACCCTCATATCGTATTTCTTCAATAAGAAATACCAAGGTGAAAAATAAAGATAATAAATATACGAATGTTGGAAAGAGGCTTGAATAGAATCAACAAATTCTAAAAATTAACTTATTATAATTGAAATAAATATTATATAATATAAAGTTTAATAGAGCAGGTCTGAAAATAAAATATATAACAAGAAAAGCTTTGATAGCAAATCAGCACAACTGTTCTCATCAATAACAAAATTAGACGAGACACTCATTAATATGTCATTTCTATTAGCAGACTAATAAGAGAAACATAATTATAATTTCTTCAATACTGTAAAGTAGAGAATTATCACAGAAATTGTACAATTCAGTTCAAACAAATAAGATAACCACCACCTGGTGACACACAGTACGGCTATAGGCACTATGATAACATAAACATATTTATTGCCTTCTTTGCAGAGCTTAGCTAAGAAATTCATGAAATATATACGAGATTTTACACGAAAATGGAACCAAATTCATATAAAATGAATTACCCAGCCGAATATTGGATTGTACAATTGCTTGCATAATAAATAATAGGATCATGAAATTATTATCCTAAAAAAAAATTTCCCGAACAAAATGTAGATAAGTCAGAGTGAAGAAACCGAAAGCTATACTCAGCGAAATGAGTATGACTGTCCAAATATCGATGCACTTAGGCTATTGTGTGGGTTACCCTGACCTTATTTAACCCAGCAGAAGGCGCATCGGTGCTACGTCCGCTATGAGAAAGTCTCATTATTGGGACAAAATGATGCAGTCGTTTTCCTGAGCGTATGCCTCACGTGAGGGACTGCTTGCATAGCACGGACACGGTGATACAGCCAACAAAATGTGTGATCAGAGTTAGTTTAGTCGCCGCAATTACTGGCGCTATAGATAACCTAGAAAAAAGGCAAGTTCCTGCAAAACATGAATTACAAACTCCCAAAATGAGCAAAAAAAAAAAAAATAATAATAAATAAAATACTAAAAATGAGCTGCTTTGCGCGACTATCCATCCTTGATATCGGTATCTCATAGGGAGACCAGCTACTTTGTTATTGTATCAGTAAATAGAGGTAAAATGCGACTAGAACTATTTCAACTAGATGATGAACACTAAAGTTTGAACGGCGAGCCAAAATAACAAGGCTCGTGGGAACATTCACAACACGTAATGAAACAACAAGATCATGCAATTAAGACAATTTCCCCTTCCTAAATGAAGGCAGCAAGCTATCACTATGGTTGAGACCATGTCGTTACTCAGACTAGATTACAGACAGAAACACTGCCACTTGGACTAGATTACAGACAAAAAGTGACTACTTAAATAAAGTCTTAACGACTAGTATACCTCAACACTCCTATGTCGAAAGATCGCTGTTACATCGTCTAAAAGGTATCTTTAATTCAAGCTTTACTACAGTTTAGTCAATTAATAAATCATTTCGAAATTCTCCGCCTAAAATGGAATCCAATTTTATTTAGTCATTATTGCAGAATGGAAAATAGCTGCAATGTCAACGTTTAAATTTTTTATTTATGCTTACACGGTATCGGGCAATTTTAAAACGTCAAGCTGTCAACTGAAGTGTTAAGGAATATATGTAATAAAGACGAATTAGGGACCAAAATAAATGTCACGTTTTTCTGTTCCCTATATAGTAATAAAAACAGAGTATAGATATTTTATGCATCTTGCAATTGGTAACATAAAACTAACATTGACATGGCAATGCGGCAAAATTTCATTTTTTTTGTGCGGCTTTATCGATAACTTCTAAATAAGGATGATTTCTCGAGAACAATTAACAGGATTGCATTCATGAACACGCCTAAAACAATGGAATGATAAGACCATCACAACAAATACACTATTAAACTAAAAACTTAAAAGCAAAGAAAACTCCACAAAAATTCATAATATCTTTAAAGAAAACGTTTGTGAGTTCAGCTCCATCGTCAGTTCGAAAATTCTAGAAGACAGATGAAACAGTAATTAGTACAAGTCAAGATTACATCAAAAAACCTAAGCTGCAAAACCAACCTATCTACAATTTCAAGCGGGTAAGAGCTATAAGCTAAATTCAAACTAGGCCTCTATTTAAAAATATACAAAGATTCTAAAACGCGCAAATCAGAAACACCGGAACTGGAAGCTAAAACTTTGAAGTCACTGTCAGAAACTGGAACATCACACTGCTCGGCGTGAGCCCGCACAGCCGAATGAGGTGGGCGCGACAATAAGTTACCAGTTCTGTAACTCCTGCCCCTATGTTCTGCGACCCTAGAATAAAGATTGCGAGACGTCATCCCGACGTACGCAGATGCAAATCGTGCACAACTATATTTATAAACTAGGGACTCTCGCATATGCATAGGGAGAGTATCTTTGTACCTAAAAAAAGAACCGATTTAAAATGGTTGACCAATATAAGACGAAGATTAACATTTGTGAAAAACAGAAAACAAAAGTTTTAGCTCCCTTGACATAGTTTCGGATGCAGGGCCGAAATATGGAAAATTCTTTAAAGATATTATGAATTTTTGTGGAGTTTTCTTTGCTTTTATATTTTTAGTGAATTTGCGATTCTAGCAAACGAGTGACATTATTACTTATTATTAAACTAATAGTAATACACAGAGTGTGGAGTGTAACAAGTGCACACATAATCAACTTCTAAACGTGACACACTGAACAACTAAAATAGTCGAATCCTCACTTAACATAAATAAAGTTAATTGAGACTGTTTGTAACAAACAATGATTAATCATCAACAATTACCAGACTTAGGTGGTACAAAATCTACAGGCATCTCCTATGATAAGCGATTTAAAAATATCAGGAAAGAAAGGAAGGGAGGAAAATTCTATGATAAAAAAAGGCAAACTCGCCACTTAATAACGTATATAAAATGTTCGTACATTAAAGCAGTTACATTTTTAGAATTCGTATAGGTCTGAATTGATCATAATTGGCAATAAAAACATTGAAGAATTATAATATATTTCTTTCAACTGTGCAAAGAAACCATTAACATTATTTTTCGTGAAAAATTGCTGTGTTTATCAAGAAGCACAATCTTTTTGCTCCTTGAAGCACAAAAATAATAATTATTTTATTTAAATAATAATTATTATTTTTAATAATTATCAATTATTACCCTTGAAGGCAATAATTGAAGCACAATTATTACCTAAATTGCGTACCTACAGCTGCTGTCATTTGAACAAACATGCATCATAAAGTGACAACACATTATTGCAGCTCTGTCGCTTAACGACAATAAAAAGTGACCCGAAATGAACATTGAACTTGTATAATAGACAAAAATTCGTTTATGTTCAAAAGGCTTATTAAAATTGCATAGGAATGTTAAAGTAATTCATAAAACTAATGCAAAACTTTTAGGCTGAACATGGAATTTTGTTGTTGCCGATACAAAGTCGCTATATTGTTCAATATTCTTGATAAACCTTCGAAGGAAAACGTACTTAAGAACCGTATCATTTCAGGGCATAAATTAATATTCATTCTGTCATTAATGGGTTAAGAACCGTATCATTTCAGGGCATAAATTAATATTCATTCAGGTAAATGAGCTTGTTTTAGTCGATACTCCCACATGGAAAAAATCACGACACTGAACGTGATACGCAGGTTTCTCAACAAGCAACACTTCAACACAAGTGCACTTCATGACTGACTCAGACAAACGTTTGTGGAATCATTTTTGCAAGAGTAAGGCCAAAGCAGCGTTCCAGGTAAAAATGCCTTCATTTCGCAGTAAAAATTACCATAGAAAACATGGCCCGCCGAAATAAGAAGAAATATGGAAGACTTTAGAGCTTTAGGTAGATTAAAGGCTTCACTTCCTCGTGTTATTAAAAGACATTGGGTATGTACCGTAATTAAAACATATGACGCTTTGATAATGATGTCTGCAAGTTGTTTTTAATGGTTGCATCTGAAATTGGTATCTTCTAATTAAAATTTGTATTTATTCATTCAAAAGTATTTATTTGCAGCCCTCACAATTATATTTTCAAAATACTAATAAATTATTGAGTTAATGGAAGCAATTACAATAAAAATGTCTTTTATTATACTATTGCCAACAAATGACTAGTATTTCATCAGAGTAATCACCACCAATTTAATTTGCTATAAAATTTGCACGTTAATTTCAACAGAAGAATAAAACTCATTTTTTTCAGTGTCAAGCATATAGCAACAATGTAAAGAACGCCAATGTTTCTTCGCAAGGCAGAATTTTTAAGGAAAGGAAGCATGGCTTCGAATTTACATAATGATGAGGAATTTTTTAAGCTCACAAAATGCAATCGATTCACCTGCCACCGTAGCTTCCAGAAGGCGGCATGGAATAATATGAGCTGCCATCACTGGTATTAGGCATCCGTAATCCACTCTCATTCATGAACTGCTGGATGAGATCACCACTGCTGCTCATAAAGTGACCCTGGGAAATGCTATCACCCTCGCGTAAATTCGCCATTGGCCCCAAGTACCCAGCAATGGGCACAGAAAAGTTGCCCTGTTGCAAGCCAGGCGCAAAAAAATTGTTAGATAGCATGGAGGAACCATCAGAAGAAATGCCACTAAAGCCGTTCATTGACACGTCAGGATTCCCCGTTCCAATGCTGGCACTAGCCATGGACAGAGAACTGCTCATATTTAATCCAGGATTATTCACAGACATAGAGACAGAACTCGTGCTCAGCCGAGAGTTATTGATACCGAAACCAGGGTTCACAGCTAGATCATTATTTTTCATAACATTAACAAAATGGTTTGTGCGAGAATCAGTGCCCCCCGCAGAAAAAGTTGTTTGGGTACAAGATGCGCCAGTGCTAGTAAACGGTACATTAAAGCCTGACATTGTGAGTACAGATGGCGAGGATTCATCCACTTGCTTGGAACTGGGATATTCTGCACCATTATTTGCTGAATATACGGATTTAATATCCATTGCTTCTTCACGGTCGCGATTAGCAACCATTGATGAGTAAGTAATACCTGTGCCAGGAATATAAGAATTGTTATTGCCATTTGCTCCTGAGGAATCTGTCGACGTTAGACTCAAAAACCTGATACTAGGTGCAGAGCTGAGACTTGTCGAGACAAGTGTAGGTTTATCAATGGTACTCCAGCCAAGCACTGAAGTTGCCTCAGTGCTCGCTGTAGACCTAGAATCAAATCTGGAACCTGTAGAAACTCCAATTGTCTTGTTGCCTGACGCATAACGCAACGAGGTTTCAGGATGAGACACAGCCAGGGTATTGCTCATTGAAATACTGGTGCCATCAGTTGTATTGAAACGATACGGCGACAGCGAGGCAGCAATGGTGGCCGAAATGCTAGTTGAAGACCCAGTTCCAGACAAACTTGAAGCAGAGATTACATTTCGATGGCCTGGAGTCTGCCCGCATTCCGTAATATTAGAAGTTCCAGATAGATTGGAGTCAACATCAGAATGTTGATTGAAGTTTGAGTGACCAGGAGAGAGACCAGTCAGGTTCGAATAATTCTTAGAGGGATGAGACCTGGTAGGTGAACCTTCAGTAGTTGTAGTAGTTCGAGAGCCTGTAGTAGTTTGAGAGCCTGCAGTTTCTGGAGCTTTAACTGGCATAGTATTTGTGCCACTAACAACAGAAAATGCACTGTCGCCATGCATTTTTGGGGCTATGTTAATTCCAGGACCTGATGAAGCAATGCCAGCCAGATGGGATAGTGATGTGGCATTACAGCTCATTGGGAGGGAAGAAACTGACGGACCACTTTCAATAAGATTTGTCGCACTCAAACCATCAGTCATGAGGACGGGAGAGACTGTAAGACCACTGAAAGATGGCACACCAACACCAAGCCCAGAGATGGTAGTACTCACGGTAGTAGTGGTGGACGTCACTGTACTTACAACTGCTGAAGTAGAGCACGTCTGAAGGTGTGGATACAGCACAGTCAGCAGAAAATGGGCAACGTCATAGTTGCTCCAATAGGAGGTGTGTGAAGTGAGGGCGCTTAGGTAGCTGCTCTCCATGCTGCCTTCGCGTAGGACATGGTCGATTCGTTGTCCTTGTGACAACTGACAGCTCTCAGATGATGCCATTGCAGACGCGTTGAAATGTACAGTCTCTGAAACACTGCCACTCGGTGGTGCCGTAGAAGAGCTTCCTTGCTCGTTAGATTTCTTGTTGCCTTTCATCAGACCCCACAAATTCCAGCTGCTTGAGCCCCCTGGAAAATTCAAATGAATTAGTTACACACCAAATAGGGAACAAGCAACGTAATTTGATTCACGATTGACTTTTAAAGGTTCATACTTGAAAAAAATCCTTACATAGGCTTTTTTTTTCAGGCGTGTTTTACCATAAAACTTATCATAAATTGAGGTAATGGGAACGTTTCCGAACGTAAAAAAATTCCATGAAAGCACTTCAGTGTAGCTGAAAAGACATTGTTCTATATGAACTTGAATAATGTAATCAAGAGTTTAATTGGGATATTATATGTAAGGATCAATTGATTAAGATTTTTCCGATTACAAATAATTGCATCAGACGCCAGCAGTCCCAGCACTAATATTTTTACGGACAACACTAATAATAAGTAGTGTAAATGTTACTGCAGCTAATATCAAGAAAACTTGTATGGAACACCTTTGACGGGCGTAGTGGGCTGCGACGAGCTAGGGGTGCTCGACACGTCTTTAGTGTCAGAGCTTCCGTCCTTGGATGAGGCGGCAGAGGCTGCAGGCTCCAGAGGCATTTGACTGTAAGGCAGCTTGTCTGCTGCGCTGTGGCAGTGCAGTGTCACTGGAGCCACGCTTGCAAACGCTGGCACAATCAACGGCTCAAGTCTGCAAAACGTTAATGAATTACACGTAACTATAAAAGTTCACGCTCATAAAAAATACACCAAGGTGGAAAATAATGATTACAACATTACAAAATGATTTTGATATAATGTAAAAAAGCAAGTCCTTGTGTTTACCAGCGGGACTTGCTCACAGGTCTAGATGTGGCTAAGGTATTCATATCCGAATGTATAAATTGAATTATTTTATCGGTAGGAAAAGCATCCACTTGACACACAAATGTAATGCTCAAGTAGTATGCAACATAAAGAAAGAAAATGAATATCAATGTGACAACGGGAACGATTCAAGCAATTGCTCCCAAATATTCCAAAAAAGAAAATAAACCTGTAAGCAACAGGATCGGAAGGATGGAATATGTTGAGGATCCTCTTGAAGCAATCTCTGCCGAGCAGGGGCGGAGCACCGGTGTCCTTGCGCCAGCGCAGGGCAAGAAACACTGCCAGTGGTGAACCCAGGCAGAAAAAGTTCTCTATCTGTATGGTGATAACAATTAACATTTAAACCTTCTACGTAACTACAAAATTCAAGCGAGAATACGTGAACACTAGATTTGTTCCAATTAAATCATGACAAGTCATCCAGATAAGCAAGTTGTTAGATTATAGCTGGTTATTGCCAAAGACGGTACAGAAGAATGTAAAGGTTTTTAAATATTTTAAATAGACCAATATTTAGAGAGAAACATGAAGAAAAAGGGATTGAAACCTAAGAATTTTATTCAATACATTTTCACAGCAAAACTTCTTCAAAATTATTAATTGTTAGCAATATAAGTAGTATTGACAGAAAAGAGTCAAGTATGGAATGCATAGATGAGCAGAACATGAATGATCCAAAGATGAAAAAAAGAGTAAATAGGTACGTAGTACGGTACTTAAACTTGAGTAATAGAACCTTGAAGTTGAGGTTTGGTTGTTGTGAGTGTCGGAGCTGTTGATGTAGGAGCTGCTGGACTGCAGACTGCATTTGCACGCCGTTGCTGCTGTCTGTGCTGCGCTGTTGCTGCGAGAGTAGCACTCCGTTCTGCACAGGTTAGTGTCAAGACATTTTCAACACAGATGAAGACAACTAACATTAAGAAGTAAAGAACGTCAACAAATAAGAGCTTAAGATTGTTCTGATGCAGTAAATATGGATTACAGGCATTTCTGCACACACATAAAAGAAAACTAAAGTTAAAAAAAACATCAATATCTGAAAATTACACAATCCTTTAACTAGTTTTAATACACATAACTAATAATTGATAGTCAATTGAGCTAACCATTGCCTGGAGGAAGTTTGTGGAGAGCTGGGGTGTAGGCGACCAGCCCGTAACTATGTCATACGTGATGACGCAGCCAAGAGAGTGAGAGACAACCGACACCTTGCCACCGTTTGCTTCAAAGTAAGGGTTGCGCTCAGTGAAGAGCGAGTACAATCGGTTCAGCTCAGATGACAACACGGTAACAATCTGAACAATGGGGAACATAAGGTTAATATCTGCTGGGACAATATGGCAACAATCTGAGCCATGGGGAACACAAAGTTAATATCTTAGTCAGGTTTAGTAGGTGCCGGAGCAATAGGTTCTCACTGTCGCTCAAGAATAAAACATGACAAGGGAATCAAACTACCTTTGCTGGAAGAGAATAATTATTAGCTTTTAGCTTATATTTGGTCAAAATTGAGGATTACCTCAAGTAATAGTACAAAATTCCGATGAACCTCATATGAATCAATTCCTTACCATGTATTTAAAACCATAAAGTAAACATATAGCATTCTTACACTTTCTAAAACCTAACCCTGAACTGATTTAGTTGCCATTGAAGACCAAATAACCCAGTTACTGAAATGTAAGAAGCAATAGTAGCATAAACTTACCTCTTCTCTGTACTGAGGGCTATTGTAGTACATTATGTCCATGAATGAAGCATTGAGCATCTGCCTGATATTTATGATCTTGTGGGGAGTGATGGAGTCAATAAGGCCATTGTCCAAAGTCAGTTGAGAGCGCCACTCGACAGGGAAGAACTCCACTGTAGTCTGCTGGTCAAGAATCTCACTGCCAGCCTGGGCATTTGTCTGTTCCTTCAGGTAGCGCAACTTGAGGGTGTTCACGTTGTCTCGAAGGCTGAGTGGAAGACAAGCTCATTGGTAAACAACAATCACTCAATTTAAAACTAAATTTAACTTAAGGAAAATAAATTAGAAATTGGACTTTCTACTGATTTTCTAAACCTAATTCAAAGTTTTGATGTATCTATATATACCTATATTGGTATAGTTCGGCAGAAGATGTTTTTTTATGCAAATTTGCTTGAAGACAGAGCATGCTTTTTATTAATAATCTTCTTATTTGTTTTCTCAATAAGTCGAACAAAAATTCTAGCTAGCGCCGGGAGATCAAAGAGCAGGTTACAATTGTTATCAAGATTGTTTCAGAATTATTTTCACAGTTCCATATTTTTGTGTTGTATCATGTTTATGTGCATCATGCAGGTACTTATTCCAACAGGAATTTTAGTATTCAATGCTTTCTATAACTCGAAAATTAATGTTGTTACATTTGTTCAATAGATTAAAATAACTTCCTAAAACCTGCATTTTGCTCACCCAACGTCTTCTGAAGTACTGTTTATTTGTGTTTATTCTTGTTTATTGGTATTGTTTGACTCTGAAAATTTAAATAAATGAATTCTATGGCCATTAACAGCCCTAGTTTTGACAAGCTAATTCTGCCATCTAATACTAATATGCCTACACACAAAAAATATGAAAAAAAGTTTAGAACAGGAATGAACTTTTCTTGCATTGTCATCTAATGTCAGCACAACTAATTTCATCATCACACAATTTCCTCTGTACAATGACTATTTTCTCTTGAGTAACAATGCATGAAAGATATTCAAAAACAGCTATATACCTTGTACTGTTTCTGATAATCCTGCCAGTATCCATCTTCTGGCCAATGCCATGTATGACGAACACAAGATGAGTGATGTCAGGCAGCTTGTCGCTGGCACACGCATCAAGGCTGTAGCCACGATGCACCTTGTATCCAGCTGACAATGATGCAAACAATTAGGCATATTAATAAGTAATGATGCCAGAATTTTGTTCAACTGTCAAAGAAAATGAATATACTCATGAAATTTTATTTTAATGGAATGCAGAAGATTTAATTATTCTATGATAAAATGATGTTAAACCATTGAAGTTAGTTGCAAATATGGGTGAATTAATTTTTTCTGATACAAACTTTTCTGGAAGCCAAGCTTCTTGCCCACAGAACGCATGAGTCGGGCGGGAGTGGCATCAAGGGACAAATAAACTTCAGAAGCACTGAACCACTCCACAGAGCCCCCAGGTACAGACAACCGGTGAACCGCTGTAGAAAAAGTCATAAGAGAATTAGAATTAGGTCAATTTGAGAAAGCATTATCCTGTCAGTGTTAAAAATGTAAGGCAAGGAAAAATAATGAAAAAATTAGTCAATGGCTCAAGTGAGCCGATTGATTTTAGGAGCTCACTTTTTATATTAGTGTTACATGTAGGGCATGGATATTTACTCATCGAGTCCCAAGAACATGAATGTAGGGGTCCTGTGCAAACCCTTCAATATTGTAGGTACAGAAATAGATTAGAATGAATGAATATGATGAAAATTTATTTCGCATAGAAACAGGAATATTTAGGAATCAGACACAGAGCACATGCGGCCATTTATATACCACTCATTACGCAGCAGAGCTGCTCACAGAGATTGCAATCAAACTTTTGATTGTTTGTTAGGTTTTCAGTGTTTCAGAAGATATTCCTACAACAACCATTGCTTATTCTGTTCAAAAATTACATGAACAGTCAGGTTAAGCTAAAATGTTTTCTTATAAGGAAAACCTTAGCTGTGGTCAGCAAACCAGCTAATAGTAATTTGAAAAAAAATTCAGTCACAACCATTCACAAAAGACAAAAAATTTCAAGGCAAAAGAGATGCACCATAATAATCACTCAGTAGGAAATACCAGTACTCGAAAATTTTGGGGTAATTTTGCACCTATGTCTGCAGCCATGTTGCTTACCTTGTTTTTGTGAGTCTGCTACACCAGGAACATTGAGAGGCTGTCCTCTGAAGTGAGTTAAATGTTCTTCTTCAAGTTTCTCAGCCAACTCTTCATCCAATGGAGCCCAAGCTCCTTCATAGAACCAGATGCCTCTACAAACTGCAAACACTTCACCTGTTAAAATATTTAATTGAGATTTAAAATTCACACTATTTGATGGATTCACACAAGGATAAAAACATAAAATGTTGAACATTTAAATTTCTGGCAAGTTAACATTGCAATTTCTGGCAAGTCAACATTGAAATTTCTGGCAAGTTCAGAAATTAAAAAAACAAACAGCTATATAGATATTAGCTTAGGCTCAAGTTCTTCTAACTACAGGAATCTTCTTATAGATAATATGGAAAAATTATGACTATAGCAACTATAGATTGCAGCAACTAAGGTTCCAAATTAAAATGTATTAAAGAAAGCAAGATTCCACACAGTAACATCTGCTTCTATATACGTTTATTTCGTTAGAACGATTACCGGTAATTCATCTGTATAATGTTTATTAAATTCAATGATCATTAAAAAATTGCAAAAGAAGTTAGTCAGGTTGTAGCACTGGACATTTTACAGTAGTACACTTCAACAATCCAGATTAATAACAGTTAAGGTGAAGGGGGAATGGCAACTTGGCAAGCAACATATCTACCATTCAAATTGCAACTAGATCTTCCCTGCAATTTTTGAAGCTGCAAGATTCTCCCTAGATGAATTATATCCAATCTAATTGTTAGTAAAACTGAATGATCAGGCAGCACAATTCCAGATGTATCAAAAATTGGTAACTCTGGAGTTTGGAGCTGTGAGATTTCATTCATAAATAGAAAAGTTTTAATCTAGAAGGGGGGGGATAAAGTTGGGACTTACATATTAGTAGTTAATAATTTAGCATGCACATGAGGCTTAAAAACTTAGGTAAATAATGTCTTAGCATAATTGCCACAGTGCCACTTGCCATATATTGACCAACTCAAAATTTAATAATGTATGTTTACTTAAAAGTCTCATCTTCTTTGGTCTCACCAGGTTTGGTTAACCTTGAATTGAACAAACAGAATATATGAAATCATGCTACAATAATGAGGATAAGGCAATGAAATAAAGTGAGCAACCCAAAAAAAAAAAAAGTTAAATACCTTTCCAGTAGATGCTTTGACCTTTTTTAATCTTCACATTTACTTCATACAAGCCTCCACGTACAGTAACTGTTCCATCTTCTCCAAGATCAAATGGTCGTTCATCAGCTTCATTAGTTCCTGTCGAGCCATTTTCAACAGAAATATCTGAAGATGCTATCTTTTGAGTACTGGCTAGTCCATTCTGCAGCAAATCTCTGAACTTCCATTCAATACGCAAGGAGTCGTATCCAATAAAAGGGATCCACTTTTTGTCCGTCTCTGCTTTGTAGAACCATCGATATTCTTCAGGGCCTAGATCCTCAACAAATTCTTTGAAATAAGGCAAAATATGGCTACCAAATGATCCCAAACTGTTTGGGCCAGGATCCAACAAGTTATCCAATGAAGAACTTGCTGAATTAATTTTGGTATCATAGGAATCAATTTGGCATGAAGAAAAATCATGATTAGGCCTACTTTCAACAGTAGACATAAAATTCTTAGAGCCCAAAATTTGAGAATTTGCAGCTTTAGAATCATATTCCAATTTAAAAGGCTTGGAAGATTGATATTCTTTCTTCTTGAATAGAAATAGTGAAGGATTGTGAAGGTTGGTATCACTAGATGTGTTCTCAGAAGAAACTTGAGGATGTAGATGAATTTGAGATTCTTCCAGGGCCAGGCTCTTCAAAGATTTTTCCTTCACATTAATAGAAGACTCATGGCTTCCTACAACAGTCGTTTGCAGTGAACTGAGTGAGGTATGAGAACTTATATCTCTGTGAGAAACAAAAGCAATGTTGCCAGATGTAGGAAGATGGTTCTGATTTCCAGCCATTCTAATAGTTGAAGCACAAGATGGAGCTGGAGATGGCACCATTTCTGATCTATTATCATGTGAATGCAAAGATAGCTCATCATGGAAGTCAAAATCTCCTAGATCATGAAAATAATCAAGTGATTTATCAAATGAATGCGATGTCCTGTGTAGTGGCAAAGACAAAGGATTCCTAGCAGCAGATAGCACGTGTAGCTGATGTGGGTCATTATCATACGTAGAAAAACGCGAGCTGGGAGACAAAGAAGTGGACATACCTAAATGATCTCTGTAGTAAGCAGAATATGAATCCATTTCAGGATACGGAGACGAGGCAAGAATTCCACGACATTGCAACTTAAGATTCGAGATACGGTTTGACAATGATTCCAAACGAACATCATCGGACTCAGCAAGCGGAGAATCTAAATAATGAAAATCAGCATTATTGGAATGGTTCAAGCTTGACTTAGATTTATAATGTCTCGACTCTGATGAAACTCTCGGTCTCGAGTGTGAGGATGATTTGCGACTGCGAGGCGATCGATTCTCCTTCGTAGGAGAAAAACTTCTTGAATGAACTCGATATTCACGCACCTCAATAGCATGTTGAGGAGTGTTGTTCAAACTCCCACTTTCATCGGCTAAACCATACGAGTACGGCGTTTTAGACGAATGACTGTTCGAGTCGGCCATGATAACAACATCGAGTTCGTCTCACGCTCGATCAACCTTGTAAAATAGATAAGAGATCAAGGTACCAGAACTCTTTGCCACGGCAGAAACGCTCTACTTGATCACGGAGACTTTCAGCACGAAATTTTTGAGTGTATTTTTAAAAATTTTGTGAATGTTCATACTCAATGCAATTTATATCTATGAATAACTTTTATTATTTTTAAACAGCGATTGCAAATGGGAAAATTCTCTTCTGCTCCCTCAATAAATCATAGGATGAATTAATGATGTGGGCAGGGTGGCCCAGTGGTTAAAGTTCAGAGTACCATGATTGACGCAGAGAGGCGCGGGTTCGATCCCAGCTCTGGGCGCAAGTTTCTGGTCAGAATCGGCGAGGAGGCCGGGCGGTTAATTAAGCACAGCAGAATTGTAGCATTGAGTTGCGAGTTCGAGATCGCAAAATGCTTTGAATGTTCTGCGATGTAAAGAATCGGCGACAGGCCTACGGCCTAATAAACGCTGAAACCGCTATTATTATTATTATTATTATTATTATTATATGTGTGCATCTGCACAGATTGCTTAATTTTGCTAAGTTGAGAAAAACTAGCAAAGTTCGTCAAAAATGTGATCCGGGTTGAGTAATAAAAATGCCTGCTTACTGCTCTTTGAAATGTATCAAATTTAACTATACTACATACACATACTACATATGATATTACATCGATACTGCCAATTTAAATAATAATGGGGCCATATAATTCAAGGCGTATTAACCTAAATAATTCAATGTCTCTTTGCGAAATGGATTAAGTATGTATATTTTTATACCTTGAATACATGATCATTATCAATGAATAAAATATTTAAATATGCATCCAATTATCTAGCATGAGTGAAGTTTTGCCACAAGCTGAGTTGAGGATGACAGTTACATGGGTGTAAGTAAAATGAGGAAAACATTTGACATGTACTTATTATTAATTTTTGATACATTAATAAGCAAATTTATTCTGCAGTTATTTATGATTTATGACCGACGAGCGAAAGATTACGTTGTTTTTCTGGTGGTTTTAAGTAGTATTATACAAACCACAAATGCCCATTTGCAAATATATCATCGATATCATACTTTTAACTTTTCAGATATATTCGAAAGTATCTCATACTTTATTTCCAGTATTCCTTCGGGTATTACGTTTCATAACTTGGCTGCGAACGATGAAATCTGCGATGAGAAATTGTTGGACTGATGAAAATAATTTCAGGGTTTATATTATAAATCATGGCTTTAAGTATTTATAAACTCATCCTACATCTAACTGCCGATCGACATCATCGGAAACTCTCGAACTACGCGAAGATCTGCGAATGATTCTGATCATTCATTAATAATATTTATTGAAAACCCGCGATGAAGTAAAGCCACGGTAGGTGATGCTCGATATAACAAAGAATTTCTGGACAAGCATCGCTTTCAGCCGTGCAATATCGATCCTTCAATAATAACCTACATTTTTGCCACCTCGTTCATATGAGGGAATAAATGGGTTGTGTACAATGGTTAACTCATACACAAGCAATAGCTTTTACTACAGTTCGTATACGAAAATATAAGAAATAACTTCAACAAATACATCATTACCGCCTTACAATATGATTTAAGTAGTTCAGCATCATTCTTCTCCCGTACCTTCAAGTCAAAACCAAAAATTCGCATTTAGGGGGCGCAACCGTGGTCCACAAATTTTACTCTTAAAAAGCCAAAGAGCGAACTCTCAGCCTACAATATCTTTACTCAGCCTCAGAGACAGAAGCGGCAGTCTACGCTGGAACACCGTAATTCGCACCAGTGAGACACTGCTTGAAGATGAAAGCGCCGTAAGTCTTCAGCCAAAACTTCAGCATGCTCGCTCATAAGCACGCAGTTTTGCATCCGGCCTCACCCACTATGGCTCTACATCTTCTGGCCTAACCTATTCACGCTGCTCTGACTCACAACCTTCTTGCAGAGCAGCGTCACAACCTTCTCACTTGCCTCTCCTCTCTAACGTCCAGTAGCCAACAAGGTTAGGTTAGGTCCGTTTTGAGTGGTGAAATATGGCAACGTGTGGAGATTCGGCCAGATGCATTATGGCCATGCATAGCCTGCTATTCCCTCAACCGTTCTTACCCACGGACAGGAATGAAGTTGGGCGCAGCTGGACTCCGGGGGTACGCAGATGTGCACCACCAAATTTGTGCACCAATCAGCCTTGAAAGGAACGCCTTGCATATTTCCGGATGGCCACCACTCAGGCGTGGATTAAACCATCCGTCGGTAACTAGCCGGTGACATCATCTTACTTTAAATATTAGGAGCTTTACGCCACCACATTCTGAAGCGAATAGCCCAGAGAGTAATGGTTGTCCACTACTGAACGTTGCATCGAATCGTCACTTCATACCCTGACTTTAGCTCGAACTGTAACTTGCGGACAACGGACTACGACCAACCAGCCCAGGTCGCCAGTGGAACTGCATGCATCCTGCCGTGCACCACCAGACCGTCACTTTTAGCTCACGACATTGGGGTTAGGTTTCAGAAAGCATAGTTCTGTTACAAAATCTATCGTCCTTCGACGAGCGACTTCCACAGCTTCGCTAAATTACGTAACTTTTAGCTCACAGCATCTGAGGTTAGGTTTCAGATAGCATAGTTCTGTTCCAAAATTTATCGTCGTTGACGACGCTGGGCCATACGACGTCAGGCTTATTTTCCTGTGGGCTGATTGGTCTAATTCAATGGATGTGATCTGTCTGGTGGCGTGTGGCTGATAATGTTACAGTCATGAAGTGTTGTAGGCTATGTTCTTCAGGGAAGGGATCATGATAGTCCATTCGAAGCAAGGCAGTGGTGGTCTCCGACAGGCGTCCCGACTCCGGCATGCGCCTCCGCATTTACATCCTAGCCGCTAGGATAACTCGCGAGCACGCTTCTCTACCAGCGGAAATGCCATAATACGAAAAATATTGGTTCCGTCCCTGCAAGCCAGTAGATGAACGTTCATATTGTAAATTTTCAGTATGGCTTATATTTTCACTTTTTCTTGAAGGTGCACTTGAGCATCAACGTTCTTTTTCATTTCACACAATTAATTGACCAGAGATCTTGTGGGGAAAAATGATTGCTTTGCTTTAGAACTTTATTGGCCACAATTTTTTTTCCTAATTTAATCTCAATTGATCGTGTTGCATGAAATCCACGCCAAGCACTAATTTGTAAATATAACTAATTGTACCTTTCAGAAAAAAATTAAAACCTATAAATCGAAATGCGGCTCACGAAGGTAGATGGGATATATACAAGTAATGCCAGAAATCAATTTGGAGGCGAGAAAGAAGCATCACTCATGCTTTACGTCAGCCCGACGGACGTTGATGAGTCAAAGACTCATTTATTAATACTGCCTCTGGCTTGGCATCGAATATGGCACGATGCTTTCATAAACGCAGTGACGGTTTGTTTGGAGAGGTTACAAGATCAAGGGTGTTTCCTGACTGAAGTGAGAACTGGTTTTGTCAACGAGGTAACACATTGGTCACGCACGGAATTCGAGGCTAAATCTCATGCGGCGGAAATTCTACAAGTAAAAAGAATTCTAGGGAATCACGTCACCAATAAAGTGAAAATAAAATATAATGTGTACACAGATGTTAACGATTTGCCGGCGAATTAATAACAATGAAGCAAACTCAGAGAGTATCATGAAGAAAACAGTACGAATTTGAGAATAATGTATAAAAGAAACACACTAGTTACCATGGAGATTTTCCTGAAATCAATAAAACGATACTCACAATTTTGTTGGGCATACAAAAACTAAAAATTTACGCAACATAAATGTACGAACAACTAAAAATTAGGCGACATACTTTGATCATATGGTTAATTTGAATTAAAAGACCTGTCAACAGTTTAGTTTTTTATAATTAATCCACATTTGATTAGCTTAATATTTATTGTACAAAATAAGTTAAAACTGATCAACTCTTTAGGGGAAAAGCTAACAAGTTTGAATTATCTTAATCCCAAATTTATGGTGATGTAGTAAATATTAAACAATCTTCCAAGTTAAACAAATATGACAGTTGATATCGAATAAATTGAGCTATAAAGGGAAAATTGCTAACATTGATTCAATAGGATTTGATACTAAATTTTACAACCCAAGCCCTTCCGCTATTTGAAACTATTGTTTAAGATTCAATTATCTTGACAGTTTAAATACATTCATTGCTGTCATCAAGGGCAGTAGCACCTTTTCTTGCAGGAATAATACCTAAAAATGCATTTTTCCAACTTTTTCCTTCAGTTACAGCTAATAAAATTTGAAATACATGATCAATTGTCAAAACTTGCCTAGTTTTCATTTTCATGAATTCATTGATAGGGAGTCTTGCATGATTAACTTCATTCTCACAGGCTAATCGGTGACATAGACCTTTGTGGTTGTTATGATCAACAAGGCCTCCTATAACATAGATTTTGTTTTCATCTAGTTCATTTACAACGTTCTCTGAATCACTACTTAAATAAACAACATCTTTTTTAAAAAATAAATCAAGGTAACTTTCTTCCTTAAAATGTATATCCCAGTTTTTAAATCCATTATTCCTTTCCATTATTTGAGCACTTGGACCGTGAAATGAAGTTACATAAAGCTGTGCTGGGTTTTTAGCTCTTCTGTTGCTGCTGTAGCATCTGTGCAGCTGCTTGACTGATTTGCACAGATCTTTTTCATTCATATAACCATCATATGACATGTCAATAACAATGCGTTGCTTGCAGTTGCTATTGGCCATAGTACAAAGCTTCAGTAACTTTCTAGAAGGCCCCAGCTCTATACCTGCCTCACGCTTGGCTTTCCTTTTCAATTTTAATCTTTCTCTCTCTTTTTGCTTTCTTTCTTCCTTAGTAGCAAGCCATTTTTGCTTTTTTTCTAATTTTTTCTTTTGCCGCTTTGAAATACCAAGAGCTATTTTCACAGGTGGCTCTTCTGTTCCTTGATGAATATCTTCCCCACAACTATTACTGGTGCAGATTGAAGGTACTGTAGAATCAAAAGGAGCTTCAAGGTTGCTCATTTTTCTTGGTTTAGGCCTAGCCTCATCAGAAACACAACCTGTAAATAAAAAAAATAATTATCAGGAGATGCGAATAAGTAGAAAAAAATTAAGATTCAGGAGCCACACCAAAACTCACTAAGTGAATGTAAGTACTTACACACTTTTTCTTGTCTATGATTGGTGGAATTTGTTTGAAAGTATGGCCCCTGATTTGTTACATAAAGGTGGCACAAGATATTGACAATTATATTTTAATTAGAAGCTCATGATAAACTAATATATGGGCAAAAATGAACTGAAAGAATGCATGAAACTTAAACATTAGTTTAGAGTACTTGTGAAGCTATAGAGTCTAGTCTAACCCCTTTGTGGGCAAGCATAGAAAAATAGACATTCACATTTCTGCAAGCAGCAAGCTGTGTAAAAAAAGTACAAAGAATTTTTAATTTTTTATTCATCTCTAATTTTCACAATTTTTGAAACGAAGAGTAAATAGCAGGAAGAATTAAATAAATGTAGTTGCTACAATAAAATTTAGAATGTAATTCAAATGTGAGCATGCAAATCCAGTTGCAAGGTTGTTATCCAAATTGCCATTGGCACTCACTCATTGCAACTATATGAAAATATTTTCTCAAATGGTCCCAGCCAATTTTGAATAAATGGTTGGCGCATACCTTTTTCAACTTCCTCAGCTGCAATTTATCCCTTCAATATAAAAAATTTGAATGAATAAATTGAAAATATGTTTAAGAATTCGTAATATTTTTTTGTACTAGCCTCAAACTTAGGATTTTCTGCATATTTTTATATTGAGGCATACTGAAGACAACAAATTGTTAGTAGGAATAATAAGTGAAGGTAAATTGATCAAGTTAACATGCAAATGACAGTGGAAGAAGTATTAAAATAACTTGCAATGTTGCAATAATAATAATAAGAAATACACATTCAACTAACAGCTAACTAATAACATAGGGAGTTGACATTAATAGATGCTATGAACAATAACTTGCTTACTCTCGGGCAAGGAATTTCCTTGCCTGAGCAAATATCCTTGCCTGCACCTATCTACTTGAGTCTTGACAAGCCGCGTCTAAATTTTTCAAGCCTTGGCTTCATGGATTTGCCAGCCATGATTCCATTTCTTTGAGACGTGATTCCATCTCTTTAAGCAGTGAATTACATAGCTTGGCCATAAAAAGTCATTTACAAAATTACAAGCTGCAAACTGATTTACAAAGTTCACCCTAAAAATAGTCAAACATCAAAACTATCACTTGTCTTCAATCAAGTGGCAACTGAACACGTGATATTTATTTATGATAATGCAGTCTGACCACTCTGATGTGATCACGTGAGTCACATGATCACATCAGAGTGGTGGTTGAAGATGGATGTGACCGCAGCTATGTGATGTTCAAGGAAATGTTTTGGATTTACTTCTTGTCATTAAGTTCTGCCCAGGGTGCAGAGGGTGGATGCCGCATTGCCAATATATGGGTTTTTAAGCCCTTAGCATCACCAGGTAATTTTAAAATGTGTTGCTGGGTAATTTTTAATGAAAAGCCATTTATGCTGAGTAATGAAAAACTATTTACAAGCCACAAACTTATTTACAAGGTTGCATGCACATGTTACCCCAAATAACTAATTTTACCCTAAAAACAGTCCAATTGTACAGCAAGTGTCAACTGAACATGTGATAATGCAGTCTGACTGCTCTAATGTGACCGTAACTACGTAATCATAAACTTGACGTTTACATTTTTTGGCGGTAACTCATCGCAACTGATTTCCAGACAAGCTTCACTGCATATTGATCCATCCAACATACCAGAAACCTTACTTTTTTTAAATAGTTGGCTGAAGACTGACAAATATATTAAATGCACAAATTTCAATCTAAATGTGTCAGCAAGATCTTCTGATGGCGTAAATTTTGCTACTGAAGCGTTGCCAAAGATCTTGCAATATTCATCCACTCTCTGCACAGTGGAGTTCTGCAGGACATTTTAGAAGGAGCCTTGAATTACTGCAGATTGTGCCATCATTGCGGAAGTTGAAGATTTTATAAATGATCTGTTTGTGAAGTGCAAACTGCAATGTTTTCAATCACACAAAAATACCTGGCATTTGAGCCACACGATTCTACACCTACATTTAAATTTTTGATATTAGAGCCATGATACCATCAACCGGGGCTACTTAGGGCAGTTTTGAGCATTTTTTTGTTAATAACTGTTAATAACTTCTTACGTTGAAACATTTCATAAACAAGTTTAAGCTCATTTTATAGCTCTTTGCGAGGGCTATGGAATGGCATTGTCAAAAAAGTTTCATATGCTATTCCTAAGGTGCCAGAAGCAAAAAAAGAATGTCCCGAGTAGCCCCGTCGAACGGGGCTACTCGGACACTTGCAATAAAACTTCATTGTAAAATATTTGAAGCATGCAGAGTGTACTCATCCATTACTAACAGTACTCTTAAGTCCTCCTCTTTCATTGTAGATGATGTAGAGATAGAACAAATGACATTTTCAGTGATTTTTACTTGTTTTTCCTTTATTGATGATATTACCATAAACATTAATTACCATCAACTGGGGTGGACTTCCCTGGCGTTTTTGATTTTGTTTTGCAAACAAAAATGGGGTCGTAAACACCAGGGTCGTAAACAAGGTCATAAACGCCAGAGTGACTTTGGCCATCGTTTATGACCCGGCTTTTGTTTGCAAAACAAAATCAAAAACGGGGCCGAAGTCACCCAAGTTGACAGTACCCTATTGATGTGATATTACCATATCCATGAACATGCCATTGAGCATTTACAACAACCTTGTCCACTGCAAGCTTCATATCAGCAGCCTTATAGCATTTTTTCTGTATCTGTAAGCTCACAGGACGGCTTGTAATTTCACACCATTTTAATTGGGTTGAGTGAATTTACTATAAAAAAATATAACTCAGTACTCACTGCAGTGAGTGACAGCGCGCATTTTCTTGTCGACGAAAACTTGAGGTCACAGAGGAACGGACAGACGGACATGGCAAGCACAATAGTGCTCGTTTATGCGCCATGCGCTTGTTAATGCGCCATTTTAATTGGGTTAAGTGAATTTACTATAAAAAAAAGATTGTGAAAAACATACCTGAAACAGAAAGGAATGTTTTAGTGACAACCATCATATATTTTGGAGAAATAAATCATAGTTTAGGTCTTTTCATTCCATGATGCCCGGTGCACAATTATATATATAGCATTCTATGTAGTACAATTTTGTGACAACCAATGATGCACTAATTTTATGACAAGTGAATTTTTTTTTGCCGAGTGAGGTAAGAGTAAGCAATATTCTTTGTTTTTAATCCATTTTTTCTTAACTGGAGCTTTTACTCTACTGAGGTTCTACTGTAAATGCGTTTTTGGGGGTGTCCTGAATAGCCCCAGGGGGGTGTCCTGAGTACTAGCCCCACCGTGCGGAAATATCCCCCATTTATTTTTGGAATGAGATAGGACATTTGCGTCAATTACTTTTTCAAGCCAACACCTGGGTGCGTCTTTTATGTAAGTAAAATTTTTTCATACGGCGAATATTTTTTTGGCTACAGACCTTAGCAGAAGTAACTTTTCAAAATAGCGTTTTCCCCATTTTTTTCAGGAATTTTTCAAAGCTAGTAAATGTAGTATTTTTCGACTTCCTTTATACTACATAGATAGGAAAAATGTTGACGTTAACGCCACTATATTTAGTTTTGCAATATTCCAATTAGTTTTGCTACTATAACAGTTTTACGCCATATCGGAGGACTGTCCCGAGTAGCCCCGCCCGTCCCGGGTAGCCCCGCCCATCCCAAGTAGCCCCACCCGTCCCAAGTAGCCCTGGTTGACGGTATGTCAGAAACTGCAGGGCTGGATTTGGAAAATTTCCAGCCCTGCAGGCTGCAGTTTCTCCCATGTTATGATCCAATCATCCAAACAACAATGCCAGACTTGCAAAATTATATGCAAATAATGCAGAACAGATTAAAACTTGGCATTCTTAGGTACCTAGTGATAGTTTGTTGAAATTTACATTTACTTTACAAATTATAATTTCCATTTCAGGAATCAGGAGTTTTCAGGACTACAGAGTAAAAGAAATTTCATAAAAATTTACATTAGCTATAGCCTAGGTAATTAGGAAGGCTTATTCAAGGCTATTAGGCTAGGAGTTAGGACCTCTTAGAATATGATAAAGGGTTTCAAAATTTCTCAAGTATGAAGAAATAATTAGCTAAAATCTGTGACACCGTGACACATTCCACTCAATCTGCTAGGCTTTTCTACGTTGAAGTAAGTTCTATAGTCATGTTCTACCAAGTACCAAGCAGCGAGCATCGATCATAATCAGTGAGTGAGCACAGAGCAATGACGCCAAACGCAAATGAGCATCATCACTCATCAGTCATCAGGCAGTCACTGCCAGACGTGCCAGTCACAGTCAGGGGATGCATGCCAGAGGCCAGCATTGCACAAGACCAGCATATTTTTCATCCTCCTTTCCGTGCATAAGCCTGCTAAAGGGCAGAGTAGACTAAAGGATTATATGTTGAAAGCCAAAGGTACAAATCCCCTTCATGGAAATGAACCAGCAAGCTAATGAGAAGTAAGCCACCAATACAATCACTCTACGCTGTATTTAAAACCGCCCAACAGCTCTATCCCATGCCGTCTAACCTCCTCACGATTTTCGGTAAGATACTTCCTACGCCATAGCGCTGTTGATACACAAGCAGCACTCCAGCCCGTCTGTTTGTTGCAGCTGTTTTTCCACAGCATAACTCTACCTTCACGCTTACCCCATCTCCCCGCTTTTTTTTCACCGACTGCCCGACAGCTTTTCTTAGTTTCTGCTCACTTGACTGCATTACGCTATAAAAAGAGGATCTATACGAGTTGTAACCTAACCTAACCTAATTCGGGTGAGCATCAAAGGTATGCGAGAAAGGCCTCCAGTTAGCCATGCGATAATGGTGGAGAGTTGGGGAGCCTACAACACTTACCCCAAGTCCCCAATGGGGACTTGGGGTAAGTGTGGGGGGAAGAAGATGCTGGGGGATAGTAAGGCAGGGAAACAGTGAACCGGGGTTAACATCTTGTGGAGTAAGTAAGGTGATGACCGATTACTGTTTGGTACAGTTCACATTTGCGGCAATGCAGTGTGGTCAGCGGACTCTTAGGATAACAGCATGTGTAAGAAGTGATGGTATGGGTTATAAAGCATTGGAGAACAACGTATTGACTGTTAACTATGTGGAGTAGCAGCTTGTTCAAGCCAGTCAATATTACCCCATCAGGGCTGCCATTAGGTAGTCACATTTCCCTCATTATGGGGCGGCGCCCCCCATTTGCAAACTATGACACTTTCCTCAAGTTTGTCATTTGCATAGTTTGTCTAGAAGACCATGGTCAGGAAGATGTGCCAGGTGCCCGGGAATTTATTTTGTCATTTTAATGACCTGCGCACTGCGCGGTGCGCCGTACTACGTTGGTAAAAAAATGCGCCGTACTTTAGAAAGCTAAAATAGTTCTACTATTTTAGTCGACAATACACGCAAGTATATTGACTACGCGAGTCGAACTGAGTACTGACAATAATAAAATGTAAGACATGTCCGGGTTACTTCTGACTCTTCCGGTTGTCCGCCTTGTCGGATACGGAACGTACGGTAATCGTCAACTGCGGCTGTTATACATACGAAATGTAAACAGACGGTGTTCAGTGTTGCCATATGACTTTGGAGAAAATTTCTTCTACAATAAAGATGGCCGGGATTGCGCGAACACGTGCACGAAGATAATCAATTTTCATTACATTGCGCCAACTGTGCACAGCAATAACTTAAAAAAAGTGAAAATGCGTGGGAAAATTCACCGAAAACATACATCATCCTGAGTGTGGCAGTAGAAGAGTTCTACAACAATGCACCAAAACCTGGAGTTATTTGGACTTATTTTACCAAAAAATATAATTGATTTTACCACCCGGTCTAAGTTACCCCAGGAGCTGGGGTAACAAAGACCATCACTTTTTTTGAGATTACATAAAGTCTTAGAAAGACTATGAGAGGCAGGAGCCAGCAATTTATGGTGAGTGAAGCTAGAGTATACTATAGACCTGTATTTTGCATGTTTCAATTCAAATTCAAGTTTAATTCAGCTAGTAAAAAAATTGCATCATTTATAAAAAAGAAAGTGGTCTAAGTTACCCCATTTTACGGTAGGTCAATTGACTACAGCTGCTTAGGTGCCAGGATGACAATATCTATAGCATTTAGATGGTTGATCAACTTGATGTTGGCTCCAGGGCTGATTTGAGCGTTAATTTGCTGGTCTACGGCTGCGCACCCACAGTCAGGAGTCAGCCTGTCAGGCAGGAGGCAGGCTATTTCACGGTCTCACACATGTAAAATGCAGCCGACACAAGGAGATGCTTTAGGTCTAGGAGTCGCATTCGCACATCACATACCTATTGGCTATTGTGTGTTCACACTTTGTGATCTTCGGCTGTGCTTCCGAACAAAACATGTGGCGGATAAAAATTCCATCAAATATCACGGAAAATTGAGATATTCCGTAATTTTGAAAGCTGAAGGAGTATATATATGGATCGTAACTATCACTGGTGAACAAAAACCACAACATTTCTATTGTGTTAAATTAAGGCTCTTGATTCGTGACGTTTCAGATCTTCTCATTTTCGGCTATGGGACGCACTATAGACCCCTACATAGCCCTTGCCCACAATTCAATATCTATTTATAACGCCATGCCCCGGCTCTCCCCCTTCGCAGCCAGCAGAAGGCTTTTCTCGTTGCCGATCAGTAATGCGCCTGGCGCGATGGAGGGACCTAACATAACCTAACCTGGCGCACAACTGATCAGCAATTGAAGAATGCCTTATGGCTGCGAAGGGGGAGAGCCGGGGCATGGCGTTATAGGGACGGCGGTTTGCGCTTCTGCCCGTGGAGTGCGGCGGGATTACGCCAGTCCTGCAAATAGCAGAGCAGGTTTCTGCGGCGTGGTCAGCAGAAACCGGCGTGGTCTGCGGCCAGTAAGGCTTACGGCGTGTGTAAGAAGTGATAGTATGGGGTAAAATTCTGTGGAGTAGGACCTGTTGACAATTGACTATATGATTCAGCAGGCTGTGGAGTGAGGTAGGTGTTGCTTAAAGTTGGTGTGGGGAGATGACTCAGTTACCTACAGCTTCTTGGGTGTGAGCTGAGTTTAGTTATTGCATTATAGGGTAGGCGTTGGCGCTAGGGCTTGTTTACGAGCTAAATTTGTGGTGTAGGGCTGCGCTCCCTGGTGGTGCACGGCAGGATGCATGAAGTTCCACTGGCGACCTGGGCTGGTTGGTTGCAGTCCGTTGTCCGCAAGTTACAGTTCGAGCTAAAGTCGGGATATGAAGTGATGATTCGATGCAACGTTCAGTGGTGCATAACCATTACTCTCTGGGCTATTCGCTTCAGAATATGGTGGCGTAAAGCTCCTAATATTTAAAGCAAGATGATGTCACGGGCTGGTTACCGACGGATGGCTTAATCCGCGGCTGATTGGTGGTCATCCGGAAATATGCTAGGCGTTCCTTTCAAGGTGCACAAATTTGGTGGTGCACGGCTGCGTACCCTTAGATGCTTGTGTAGCCATAAGTTGAACCTCTATAACCTACCAGTAGATGCGGTAATGCTTATTGCATGGTGACAATTGAGTATAGTCTTGTCTGAAATAATAGAAGCGAGTAAATGCTCACTCATTAACATAGCATAGGAAAGTGATGTCGGCGCTGAAGAATAGGCCTGATGCGGCACGTCTCGGACAAATTTACAGCCGGACCCGCGGCCGGTCTCGCTTCTTGTACTTTTCGTGACGTCCACAGGAGATCCAAACACAGGTCCTTCGATCAGATTTTTCCACGTCTTTAATATCGCCTTCATTCGTGAGTTATATGACCGGACTCTGTACCTGAAATATCTCCCAAAGTACTGAACGTAGCTCGATGAAACTTGGTACACATATTCATTATGGCCTAACGGTGATGTCAAGCTCGGGACAATTTGTTAAATATCGCCTTAATTCGTGAGTTATATGACAAAACGTGCCGAAATTTGCACTGTACCAGAGATTTCTTCTAAAATACTGAACAGATTTGAACGAAACTTTTTTGAATTTTGCCTTCGTTGGCGAGTATTTTTCTCTTTTCCCTCATGCGTGATTTAAACAGCAAAATTGCCAGTGTATCAGAGATTTCTTCTACAATCCTGAACAGATTTGAACGCAACTTTGCATATAGAAACCTAACCTTCCAACGGTGATGTTTAGCTCGCGACAATTTTTTCGATTTTGCCTTCGTTTGCGAGTTATACGGCTTTACGTGTATGGCTCTTTGTCAATGCAAGTTCAAAAATCGGTCAGAGAAATGCCGGTCGTTTCTCTGTATATCCGTATAACTCGCAAACGAAGGCAAAATCGAAAAAAATTGTCACGAGCTAAACATCACCGTTGGGAGGTTAGGTTTCTATATGCAAAGTTTCTCTCGAATCTGTTCAGTATTTTAGAAGAAATCTCTGGTACACTGCGAATTTAGGCACTATTTTGCTGTTTAAATCACGAATGAGGGAGAAGAGAAAAATACTCGCCAACGAAGGCAAAACGTAAAAAAAATTCACGAGCTAAAAAAACATCACCGTTTAGTATTCAGAAATTCATATTCAAAATTTCATTTAGATCTGTTCAGTACTCGGGAAGAAATGGCCGGTACACTGCAAATTTCGGCACGTTTTGTCTTATAACTCACGAATGAAGGCGATATTAAAATAAATTATTGTCACGAGCTTGACATCACCGTAAGGCTATAATGAATATGTGTATCAAGTTTCATCGAGCTACGTTCATTACTTTGGGAGATATTCCAGGTACACTGAATTTGGACACCGGCCGTAAATTTGTCCGAAACGTGATTTTTCCCAAGCCGACGATTGTTGGAAGTAGCTATCTACTAGATTAATATCGAGTTCGATATAGTGCACGGCATTTCAAGTCTGAACATATATTCTCCATAGCTTCGTCTAGTTTGTTCTTGAACGAGTTTAACTCGGAGCGTCAACGATGAAACGTTACATTTACATACATACGTAGGAAGGTATAAGAAATTGACATCCATCCATGTGTTAAGGCACTTAACGTCGTTGTGGATATAACGGCATGGAAGAGGTTGCGATCGAAAAACGCCACCACATGTAGACCGCTACTGGTGACATGCAAGATACAGCCCGGTCGGATATGTGCTTAAGACTGCGAAAAAACGAAGTGAACTCCCAGAGTTTAATTCAGTCTTTGTTATGAAGGATGATCTCCAAGAAGGATGCTTTCGAAAGAAATGGCAGGAGAGAATCAGGCGGAAAAGTGCGGAAACTCAGGTCAACCACTCTCACGATGTCAAGACAACACCGGCCGCACGGAAGACATGTAAGAAGTCACGTCCACAGATAGGTCTGTAAATAATGTAAGAAGTAAAAGCATGCATCAAAGTGCAAGTGCGCAAAAAGTTTTAAAATGTTTTTTTTTTTCACAAACTCGGATTCCGTTTTGAAAAAAAGTGAACTGCTAATTAATTGTGATCGCAAACGAGTGCATAAACATTATTGGTATTACAGAAACACTCCCTAAAAATCACGGGAGGAAAATTGTACCTGTTGAATTTCATTTGTCAGGTTTTGATTGATTTCAATAACATGAATGAAGAGCAGTGCAGTAGAGGTGTAGCTCTGTGGGTTAGAACCTCTTATGGGGCCCATCAAGTTAGCTGCAGAGCTAGAGCTAAAATCAGCTAGAGAATCAGTGTGGTGTGAACTTTCTCTCGAAGGCAAAGATAGCCTTCTCATGAGTTTTAGAGGATTAGGTTTTCTTAACTGTGATTGAAAATGAATGAGATTTTAGCCGTCCCTCTTCCTTAATTGATTGATGCAATGGTATCTCGAGTAGGGTGGAGTGAAGAATCTCAAGTTTCCGTTATTTATTGAAGAGAGTCGGGATGAAGAAAGAATCCGCCGATCAACACCTGTATCAGTGACGGTCGTTAGAATTGACACGACATGAACACAATGGAATAATATCAAAAATACAAGTCATTCGATTATGACAGCTGCACAGAAATATTAATTGCATTAAAAGAATTGAGTTTTGGTGAAGAACTTAGCGTCTTACCCCCTTAGCTTAGCTGATGTTCACCCCACGATGTCGTTCAGAAAGAGAAAATGACTAACTTATGCACGATTGGCAAATGGTTCTCCACTGGCGTTCCAAAGAAATTTCACAATATTTTCTGGTACGATTTAGCATAAAATAATTTCGACATTTACTAAACTTCATCATTCAGTAATTACACGAGTGTTATTCGTGCTCAAAATTTGATGATTAACTGACTGTATATTTTTATAATGGTTTAATAATGAAATTGATGAAATCCGAAATATGCAATCGAGATCAAGATAATTAAGTAAGATATTGTTATAGAGGTCGATAATCACGAGTTTGAAGGTTTAATAAAATTAACTATGACATTCAAGAGAAATACTAGTGAAAATCACTACAGAGTCATGCATAGAACACCAAACAGTTCCTCTGATAACGATAAGTAATAAACGGTCTTATACCGGGCACGACTTTCCTTAGGTCACACATGTTGATCGTTGGTGATTTCAATCATCCAGAGCTAGACTGGACAGAAGGATCCTCTCCAAGTGATGGAAATCACCCAGCATCCTTGTTCATGGAGTCTTTGAGAGACTCCTACCTAGTCCAGCAAGTTACCAAGCCAACCCATTATAGGAGTAAACAGGCTCCCAATATTCTAGATTTGGTGTTTAATAGAGATGAATCAATATAAGATGAGCTTCGTCACGAGGCTCCATTGGGCAAAAGCCATCACCAATCACTGTTTTTCAGTAGTAAGTGCTGTACAGAAAAGACGCCTCGGAAGCGTGAGCGTTTGAATCTTGCGAAAAGCGACTATGATAAACTCCGAGAAGCAGTGAATGCAGTGAATATTTCGAACTGTATTTGCACGTTTCAATTTAAGTTTAATTTAGCTAGTAAAAAAATGGCATCATTTAAAAAAAAGTAGTCTAAGTTACCCCATTTTACGGTATTTAAGGACATGAATGTGGCTGAGTCATGGTCATTTCTCAAGGACACGGTTATGTCGGCAGTTGATGCGTGTGTACCAAAAATTGAGCTCAGTGGAGCCAAAAAACTCAGTGGACGAACAGTATAGTTCTAGCTAAGCTGAAAACCAAGAAGGCAGCCTACCAGCGTTATTTACAGACTCGGAGCGATGCTGACTATAACCTACACACAAGAGCTTGAAATCAAGCTTAATAAAGCTATCACACTGCAGTAAAAACCTTCGAAAAAAATATTGCCAAAATTGCCAAAAAAAGAACCCGAAGGCCTTCTTTTTGTACGCTAGTTCGAAGTGCAAGATAAAGGACAGTATTTTTTATTTGAAAGTAGATCAACGAAAGATCTCTTATGAGGGCAAGGCTAACGTTCTTAATTAGTTTTTTAGTAGGGTATGCACTGAAGAGGACTTGAACAGTATTCCAGCTGTTGAGGCGCACCCAGTCGGCTCTAAATTAACGAGTTTTGATATACAAAAAGAAGAGGTTCTCAATCGCCTAATCGCTCTAAATGCAACCATGCAAGTCGTGTGGACCGGACGGCTTCCACCCTAGATTACTGAACGAGTTAGCAACTGTCCTAGGCAACAGGTACTAGGGCAACAGGCCTTGGGCCTATTTCTTTAGAGCCGACACTTCTATTCTAAAATTTCTACGGCGCTGAGTAGCGTTGCCAATTATTGATATATGATGCGGAGTTATGATTAATATATTTATTTTCTTTGACGTCCTTTTTTCCAAAAACTGTGAACGAAGAATCTTGCCAGCTAACTGGAAAGAAGCTAAGTGACACCATTGTTCCAAAAAAGAGACAAAAGCTGCCCGGGCAACTATCGCCCTGTCAGTTTGATAAGTGTCATTTACACGGTAATGGAATCTGTTTGGCGGGATCGATTGATTATTTGACTGTAAATAATCTCCTATCAGACTGTCAACATGGCTTTATTGCCGGTAGATCCTGCACCACTAACCTCTTGTATACTCTAAATGAATGGACCCGCCTGCTGAAAGAAAGGGAGCCAGTAGATGCAGTGATCCTCGATTTTGCCAAGGCATTTGACAGTGTCTCGCATGAGCGGCTGTTGCGTAAATTGAAGTCTTTGGGAATCGAGAGTAATGTACTCTAATGGATCAGAGATTTTTTAGTAGAGAGACGACAACGTGTCAGTATTAATGGGTCCGTATCAGACTGGGCTTCAGTGCGCAGCGGCGTGCCACAAGGAAGCGTTATCGGGCCTGTTTCATTCGTTGTGTTTATAAACGATCTGCCAGAAGATGTGTCTAGTGTGTGATTGATGTATGCTGACGACACAAAAGTTTATAATACAGTGAAGAATACGTCGCAAAAAGTACAGTTGCAAGGTGATCTTGACAGGTTGGCTGACTGGGTTAATAAGTGGCAACTGCGTTTTAACGCTGACAAATATAATGGAATCCACCTTGACAATAATAATGAACAGCAAGATTACAATATAAGAGGACATGGTTGCAACGACAGAGTGATGATGTCGAAGTAGACAATGGAAAAAGATTTAGGAGTTAATGTCAACAATGAGTTGAAATTTTCTAAGCATATTGAAGCTCAAGTTAATAAAGCCAATAAACGACTTGGACTGATCAGACGCTCCTACGAGTACATAGATGCTGAAGCGATGAAACTGTTATTTGTCGCTGTCGTGCGTCTGAACCTAGAATTTGGAAACGCCGTGTTGTCTCCTAAACTAGAAAATGACAAAAATTTAGTCGAGAGCGTTCGAAGTCGTGCAACAAAGATAATTTTGGGATTAAAAGGAAAGCCTTATGAAGAAAGGTTAAAGATTATGAAGCTCCCAAGCCTCGGTTATCGACGTTTGCGTGGTGAAGTATTACAAGTATACCTACGGTTTATACAAGGTCCCAGAAGGATTAATATAATTTGAAACAAGAACCAACACCAGGCGCCACAGCTATAAACTAAAAAAACTGTGTTATAACACATCCATGCGACAGCACTTCTTCTCGCTTCGAGTCACCGATATGTGGAACAGCCTCCCTGATAGCATCGTTGATGAACGTCTTCAAAAACAGACATAGAGTGCTAGACGAAGCTATGCCTATGCAGGAACACATGTTCAATCTTGAAATGCCTAGCACCTTATGGGTCATGCAATAAGTCCAACAGCTCAATCAATCGTCAGTTATCGAAAGATCGGGTTCAAAAGGCCGGATCCCTTGCGGAATCAGGTCACGAAAAGTACAAGAATCGGAAACAGGCCATAGGCCTATTTCTTCAGAGCCGACACTTCTATTCTATTCTAAAATCTCTACGGAGCTGAGCATTGTTCATATGATGCCAATTATTGATATAGATTAATAAACTCATTTTAATTATATGATGTACTTGAAAGTATTTTTTACAATGCAAACATATGAAAATTAAGAACTTAACGTTAGAACGTTACTATTAGCTGAATTTGCGGAATTCGATCCACCACAGCGTTCCAGTGATCACTCATACTCCGCTTCAGCTCTCAACTATCACCCAATGCTTCGGGCATGAGTGCTGGCAAGTAACTGTCCAAATAGAAAGTATGAAATGATCGCGGAATGACAGTTAAGATCTTGTACAGTCTTCCTGGCGTGGGATTCCTATGGTCTAAATTAGTTCATCTCTGATAAAATGTTGCATTCTTCCACTGTAAGTCGCAGTGTTGCCAATTTTTTCAATTGCTTTCGAGCTAAAATCTGGCATTTTTAAGCAAAAACATTTGAAATATTTAAATTTTGGAGCTAAAAAGCTCATTTTACCTACGTTTTTCCCCGCTATAGCAAAAACTTTTCGCTGGGGTTGTTAAAAATACGCTAGATTTAGCTTGAAAGTAGCTGAATTGTCTACACTGGTGGGGCCGTCTTGGCAGGGCTGTGATCGTGTCTATTTGTTCCCCGACTGTACACAAGCTTTACTCTTCGTAAATGACCGTTACATTGAATGTCACTTGCTAAAAACCGTTTCTATAGCATTTCATCTGCGCAGCTGTATTTAAACGGTAAGAGGTTGTCTGAGATGCATAATTAACGTTGGACATAACGGGTTGTTGTGTGGAGATAGTTGTTCTTGAAAATAAATACTGGACTTTTTGAATCTGATCATACTCATGGACGCCGGGTGCGATCGTGAATGGCTCATGGATTGTATTTAGAGGTACGTTGACGGGCAAAATTGCTCTGTCAACGTATACGTCCTGCCGTATTCGATCGTGTATGCGTGTGAACAATGCGCGTGTGAACTAAGTAGTGTGCGTGTGAACTATAGGATAACATAATCTATTTCTTAACATAATCTATTTCTTAACATTCGGCGAAAGGTTCATTGACGGACACCGTACGTGCTGCACCCCAACACCGTCTTGTGAGAGGTGAAGGTCACTGTGTCTGTCAAGTCTTCCATGGTTTTCATTGGGAAGTATAAATCTATTCTCGTTTACGACAGTTAATCCCAACTACTCTTACTCAGGATGAAAGAAAAATCGAAGCAATGAATTTACTGTTTATTATTTGTCGTAATCTCCTCGTGGTCTTCAACACCATACCATCACATGTCAAATCAGTTTCTGTTTTTATTTTTTCTACTTATTTATACATAGTTTTAATATCTCTGGTTTGTTAAAAACGGATGTTCAACACGATTGACAACTGTAAACATCATTACGAAAGAAATATATCTACTACTCAAAATTACTCCAAACTGCCCAAAACAAACTGCTCCACACACGGCAGTTGTTCGTACTAATTATGTGACAAAGTGCAGCAATACACTTTGCTGTGCTGGCTGCTGGTTAACATGACCAACAAACTCGAGTTTGTGACAACAAACTATTATTATCCTCCACAAGTAGTCCTTCTTCTGCACATGCCTGACATACCACAGACTCGAACAACAAATCAAACAATTGTAACGGGCACCTGGAGGCAGACTTCGTCGTGCACTTCTCCATCGTGCACAAGACGGAAGGTGGCAAGTGTCGTAATCTAAGAAAGATTTGAGGCATTTATTAACGTTAATCATGCGGATAAGAAGCAATGTCGTTAGCGGCAATGGATGGATAAGTTCCCATATTATTATATATGCGTACAATTGATAACGAATTCACTAATGTATAATATTATTAATTAATATTATTAATAATATCATCGCGAGCCGTCACTCGCGACGGCTCATCAATAACTATTTAGACTTTTCATATGTTTATTGCAAGATTTATAATTAATATGTTGATGAGTATTGATTTCTCAGTGGCGCATACCGCAAGATATGATAATAAAAATTAAACTCACCGGAGGATATTCAGGCAGAACTTCTACAGGGTAAGTCCAATTTGCCACAGAGCCAGCAGTGACAGGGCAACCGTCCAGAAGGTACGCACAAGCGTTCTTATCAAAGCCCGGCCACGGTTCCTCAAACCCACCAATGGTTGCCGTCACTTCCGCGGTCAACGTATCGACGTCGTGGTCTGAACAATAGAGGCTTCGATCACACATGAGGCAAGTAAGAACAGCTCGATATTGAACGCTGAAAAACAGAAGACCGTCGCAAGGTTAAATTTTTTACCTGTTGAGTATTTGATTATTTATCATGATGCATCCAACATCTTCCCAAGAAAAAGTCATAATTATTACTATTCATAATTTTAAAGGGCATACGAAGAGTCCCTTATGCTAAGTTCTCTAACAAAGTAATGAGAATTAGGAATGTATTCTATGCCGGGCAGGTTTTCCTGCCAACATTACCGACAGTGAAGAGGATGGTAACAGGAAAGGTGTCGCCTCTGGTGACGACGCAAGGAGGAATGTCGCAACTCTCCACCTCAAGAGCCACGGTCAACGCTTCCGAACCTAAAAACGTTATAAACCCTATAAGTGCCCAGCTTAAGTCGAATTCACGTAACAATATTATGTTCTTTCTTGTCTCTCTCTCGCAAACACCTATACATAAAGGTTAAAAAACATTGGAATTCGTTTTAAAGTTAGATTCTACGAAAGCACTTTTCTGGAAGAGTTTTCTCAATTCGCATATGTACGAGGATATGTTTCAAATGCGCTACGCTGTTCTAGTATTGTAAACTCAAATCTGTTCCAGAACTACTGTTGGTAGCAGAATATGTCTGATTTCGGAGGTCCTAATTGATTATTTTAATGATTAATATCAACTCACCGCAATCCTGGAACTCTGTTGCCAGCACAGCATGGGCGAGGGCCACCAGCAGTAGAGCCAATGTCGACTTCATCTTGTATGAGATTGGCGAGAATCTGAAAGTTAAAACGTAAATTAGTTAATCACCTGGTAAATCGAAATCAAAATTCGAACTTTATCGCAGAAAGCGCATAGCTCTGCAAGCCTGAGAAATGAAAGACCTTTCACCGGAGTATCAACCAGCAAACGGTACTATATATGAGTTCATCTATATAGCTGCATGACCTTCTTTTCCAGTAGTCGCTGTTCGAGGCAACGATGCGCAATCGAGTCTGGGCAACGGCGAGTTGTTTGAGCTTATATTCATGCATATGCGGAAGCATGTGCCTTTTATTCACACGCCTCATATCTTTATCATCACGCTAGACATAAATTTCTGATGGATAACGGTCAAGGCCTCGGTGAAAATTCCGAACTTCCGAAAGCGTCGACGTTAGTTGTGAAATTGCAACACAAATTAAACTCTTATCGTTACTACCATTTAGCGAGCAAGTTGCCACATGTGTTCACTTAAAATCTCCTACTAAAAAGACCAACCAAGGCCTCCAGTTTGTGTTTGAGGCTACGTTATAAAGCCTCTGCCAATCTCCAATAATTTAACCTGCCATGTCTAAAGATTGGTCACACCCTGCCATGCATAAAAAACTTAGATACGAGCATATGAATGAAAATTTTGATTCAGAGAATGATATTTACGTTCTTTCCATATTTTTTAAGAAGACACAAAAAGCAATATCTTTCCAATTGAGTTAGAAAGTTACTCTTTGCATTCGAAAGGTTAATTTGAGTTCTCTTACATTTTTTCTGAATGAGGAATGACCGTATTTAATAAAACTTCAGCTGCGAATAATTCCTTCAATACGTCAAATTTTAGAAAGTTAGTTTAGTGGCCAAATGTTCGTTGGCGCTTCAGCTATTTAGCTATCTCGAACCGAAAGTCAACATCATCAACAAGGTGGAAGGTCTCAGTTATCAAAAGTTTCTTAGATCAAAAACTGTTCATTCCCTACAAGGGGGCGGAAGGTCTTAATTGTCCAGCCCGCTGAATCTGGCTCGTAAGAAGCTGCGTTAGCATCTCAAAGAGACGAAATGACAAGGAGGGACAGGTGAAAAGCAATAGAACCTAATACACTTGAACAAAAGGTCGCTTACACCGGACGTCGGTCGCCCGCACGAGAGAGACAGAGAAGGGAAATGTAAAAAATTCTACCTACATTATAACTTAACCCCACAACTGAGACCTGCAGTCAGACACCGCGAGCTCAGCGGTGGGGCGCTCAGGATCAATTTCCCTAAGAAGCGCGAAATCCCATAGGACTTCTGACAAGCACAGACGCACGTCAGAAGTCTCCCAAATTTTAGAAAATGCACATCAGTAAATGCAGCCATACATATATTCTATGATTGTTCATACTTTCTTGTACTGGTTTCAGAAACTTTAATTTTTAGATAAATTTCATGCTGGCTCGTGTAAAATGCAAACAGAATGCTTACAGATTTTATGCTCGTTAGAATGGGATTAATTTTTATCAATTATTGCACTCATGTTAATAACAAATAGGCAATGTATTGCAGGCGTTATCTTCCATTGTTTACTGAGGGTTTAAATTAAATTTATTGGTCAAATAATAAGGAAAGTACTACGCACTTTCCATTAACAATCAGATAGTTCTGTAGGTTATAAACTTATAACGGTGCAAACCTCAAGTTTCAAATCAAGTTTCAGCCCCAGCCGGAAACCCTTTAGTTTTTACAACACTTCTCTTAAACTTCACTTCTTGTTGTTTGTTTCTCTGTCTGCTACAAATCTTGTAATCAATATTTAACACACTTCTTCCTGTCCTATCGATCTAAAATTTTCCACACTTGCGTAAAGTCGGACGCATGAATCTATTGACAGGCTAAATAATTTTGAAAAATTTAATATATTTTGATTTTTAAAAACAAAACTCAAAAATCAATTATTTGATAATAAAATTAGAAATTCATTGTACATGTGTAACATCTGAGGCACTGAATTCTTTAGAAGTGTTGTTTTTAAAAAGTAAATTTTAAACGCGTAATATTATTATTTCAGGGCTATTTTTATAATTAGAGTAATTTTCCTTCATGTGAAACTAACCTTTAACTTTGATAAAGATCTCTGCTTATCAATGATAAAGATCTCTTTGGATATTCGACCTGCAGCCCTGACACGCGGTTCCGGCGTGAGAATCACCAGCTGCGAGATACGTTGTCTCGGTTACACCATTATTTCAACTCATGCACTAATTTGAGTGATATTAAATAGTTAAGCCAGAAAAAATGCCCGTTGAGAATCCAAAATTCGCAAAATTGTTTTAATAGTGACCACAGTGAGATTTGTTATTTTTCGTTTAAATCGAAGCAATTTTTTTTAACAAAACGTGTTTAAAAAAAATCAGTTATTAGTGCTCATTGACTTTGAATAGATGTACATAAAGAATAATATTAGTGTAGGTTAAGAGAAGCTGTTCTTTAATACAAGTTTGAGTGAAGACCAGAGACGATTGTCTTAATGTTTATTGACGATTTTCTTAATGTTTTTTTACGGCTTAAAAGCGAAACTTTAGACAAATCCGGCGATTTGTCAGGACGTCGAGTACTCTCGGAGTAATTTAAATTTCGATTCTGAGTTGTATCTAAGATACCATTTGTATGTACTTAAGTCATTTCTAAATTTCAATTTTATAAGCACCAAAAATAACTCCCTACCTACTTGATAATGGATATGGCATATTCAGAACGTCGTAAATTCTGATGAAATGTCTCCCGGAAACCTTATATTTGAACTTTCCAATCCCACTAAAAGCCACATTTGCCAAATAGAAGAAAACAACAAGAAAATCGTCCATAATATATACTCTCTGATCATTAATGAATCTTGCATTAAAGACTAATACTTGTACATAGGGACTAATGAGTTTAAATTGGAAATTGAAAAAATATATGTTTGAAAATTGCGTAATTTCATATTATTCAATTTTGCGCGCTAAAATAATTTTACGCGTCACTGATGTTTTGTCTGTTTTTTTTTAATTTTGAGTTAAGTAAAAGGGTTCAGAATTATCGAGCCTAGTCTATTTAGCGCTGCCGAATTAAATGGGAACAGAGATGAAAACGTTTAAAGACTAAACTTTCATTTATTATTAATAATGTTTGTACACCAAAAAATGTTAAAAGTCGCTTCTTGCACTTTGAATTGATAGTTTTGCTTGTTAAAACCATAATGTCCATAAACCGGTTTCACTATAGGCATCTTACCGTCTCAATTTTTTTTATTAAATACCCAATGTGCTTGAAAAACAAATTCTAGGAATTTGAGAAAAATGGGCTGGCAATCTTGAGCAGCGTTCAACAAACGTTTGAGTAATACAATGAATTTTATATTTTAGAATTTTCTACAAATAATGCACTGTATTCGTTTTTTTGCAACTTACGGAAATCCTTCCACAAAAAAGTTTATTTCATGTCAAATAAATTGCTTTTGTTACCTTATTTTAATTCGAAAGCCCTTTGTGATTCTCGATCACCCTAACCTTCAACTGAGTGAACTTGGCTGACAAATTTGATGAAACTTCTCGTATGAATTTTTAAAGGATGTTTTCTAAATTTTATTGTGGGACTCTTCCATAAATTTTTGTGACATTATAAACATTAGTCAAATGCTTTCAAATTTCAAGATTGCGTTCGGAAGACCTCGTGCGGCTCGAGTAAGGAGGAGTCTTAAATAAGTGTCAACAGAAATAAACGACGAGAACTGCAATAAGATTTGTGTCATAATACATAGGAAATCAGTTATTAGTCCACGTGTCAGGCAATTACATTGAAATAATAATCCGTAACTTTTTATAGAATTTATACTGCATGGCAGAAAATATTGCAGTAGGAGATAGTTATCAGTGCTGAAGATCGTTATCGCTGACACTTTATCTAGTAATCAGTCTTCGTGGGAAGTTCTCCTGAGAAGGTGAAGGCTGCAGCAGAATTGTCATATGCCCAGAAACTGTCTGATATCTATAATATATTCTAAACGATCATGCTTTGACTTTTAAACTTTAATATTCTCTTGTCATGATATCTTTTGACATGACACTATAATGATTCACACTGAACATAATCAAATTTATTCAACGCATTTTTAGAACAATGCTTAAAGAGATGAAAATATTAATGGTAGTTGATATAGCGTCTGCGAACTTTTTTCTGTCTGAACTTTTTTGTACATGCATATCAGAATTAGGTTGCAGCTTACACCCTCTCAGGGGTAACCTTCCCACGAAGACTGATTAACAAATGAGGCGTCAGCACTAACGATCTTGACGATATTCTCATCACTGATAAAGATCTCCTACAGTAACATTCTATAATGCCAGATAGATTTCAATGAATACTTGTTTTAACCTGTTACGAGGATTATTGTTTCAATGTGATTGCCTGACATCTAAAATACTAACTGATTTCCTGTATATTATGACACCCCCTATTATATTGCAGTATAATTCACTATGTTGGCACTAAGTTAAGACACCATACGAGGTATTCCGAACTCAATCGCGAAATTTAAAACCATTTCGACAGAAATCTACAATGCCAGGAAAATTGATGACAGCGTCACACAATGAAATTTAGAAAACAACGCATAAAAAATTCGTTTGAGCAGTTTGATCAATTTTCACAGTACATTTGAGGATTGAAAGATAGTATAAGCGAGAATCTCGAAGGCCATTCAAACAAAAATAGGGAAACAACGGAATTAATTTGATTTGAAATATACTTTTTATTAAAGAATGTCCATAAATTTCCAATACAGTTCATTAGTTGATGAAAATTTGAAGCAAGATTGAAGATAAAACATATAATATTCATTAGTTAACTCAAACGTTTGTTGAACGCTGCCCGAGATTGTCAGCTGTTATCTCTGAAATATCACATCCAAAAAACGAATTTCAAGAACTAAATTTCTCAAGTTCATCGGGTTTCGAATTCAAGAAGATCAAACTGAGACAGTAAGCGCGAATAGTTCAATGGGTTTAAAGATATTATGGTAAAAAAAAACAGAAATTTCTATTCAAATGGAAGAACACAGTTAATTAGCTTGCATATTTTAACAATTTTTGGTTTACAAATCATTTTATTAATAAATGAAAGTTAATTTTTTAAGTTAAATTAAGAAGTTAAGTTAAATTATAACGCTTTCTTATCGATTTTTAATTAATTCAGCAGCGCTGTAGACTAAACAAAACATCAGTGGCGTATGTAATTTTTAAGAAGGCGACATTACATAATATGAAATTATATAATTTTCAGGTAGTATTTTTAAAATCAAATTAAAACTGATTAGTCTCTTTCTATGTACAGCTTGGGATCAGCTTGACAAAATTGAAGGTCAGGGAGAGTTGATTGGATTTTCAAGATCTATGAACAATAATTACTGATATATTGTTAAAAAAAGTTTTCTTCAACACGCGAAAAAATAACAGATCCAATACGGGTCATTAGTAAAACAATTTTGGAGTTAGCGACGTTTATTAGGTTGCTTTTCTGGCTTTTTTTTTCTCTTATAAAATAAATTAGCGCACGAGTTGAAATAATATGCTGTAACCAAGACAAAATATCGAGCAGCTGGCGATGCTCACGGTGGAATTAACCGCGTGTGAGGCTGTAGGTCGAATATCTGAATAGATCTTTATCATCGATAAACAAACAACTTTATCAAAGTTTTAGATTCAAGGTAATTCCCGTAATTATTAAAATAACACTGAAATGTTATTTCAACTGATGAAATGATCGTTAATAGAATGAGTGTTAATAAAATGATTGTTACTGAAATAATTGTTAATAAAATGATTGTTAATGAAATAATTGTTAATAAAATGATTGTTATAGAAATAATTGTTAATGGAATGATTGTTAATGAAATGATTGTTAATGAAATGATTGTTAATGAAATAATTGTTAATGAAATAATTGTTAATAAAATGATTGTTATAGAAATAATTGTTAATGGAATGATTGTTAATGAAATGATTGTTACTGAAATGATTGTTAATGAAATAATTGTTGATGAAATGATTGTTATCAAAATGATTGGTAATGAAATGATTGTTGATGAAATGATTGTTACTGAAATGATTGTTAATGAAATAATTGTTACTGAAATGATTGTTACTGAAATGATTGTTACTGAAATGATTGTTACTGAAATGATTGATAATGAAATGATTGTTAATGAAATGATTGTTAATGAAATGATTGTTACTGAAATGATTGTTAATGAAATGATTGTTAATGAAATGATTGTTAATGAAATGATTGTTAATGAAATGATTGTTAATGAAATGATTGTTACTGAAATGATTGTTAATGAAATGATTGTTAATGAAATGATTGTTACTGAAATGATTGTTACTGAAATGATTGTTAATGAAATGATTGTTAATGAAATGACTGTTAATGAAATGATTGTTAATGAAATGATTGTTAACAAAATGATTGTTAATGAAATGATTGATAATGAAATGATTGTTAATGAAATGAATTTTAATGAAATGAATGTTAATGAAATGAGTGTTAATGAAATGATTGATAATGAAATGATTGTTAATGAAATGAATTTTAATGAAATGAATGTTAATGAAATGAGTGTTAATGAAATGATTGTTAATGAAATAATTGTTGATGAAATGACTGGTATTAAAATGATTGTTGATGAAATGATTGCTAATGAAATGATTGTTAATAAAATGATTGTTAATAAAATAATTGTTGATGAAATGACTGGTATTAAAATGATTGGTAATGAAATGATTGTTGGTGAAATGACTGTAATGAAATGATTGTGAACTGGTTAATAATGAAATTATTGTAAATGATATGATTGCTGATGGAAAGCGAGTAGTGTTTGAAACCTATTATATTGACACTGAATTTGTCGGAGTTCCTCAGATGCCAAAGAACACGAACAAATGCAATCCATTAACCATTTGTTTTTTACTCGTTATAATTTATAATGAATAAGCAATAAACAAGTAACTATTAAGAATAGCTAATAGTTTTTCCCTTCAAACAATATTCACCCATAATTGCTTTTAATAGTGCCGATAAGTGTTTGCCGTACAATTTTCTTACTTACAGGAACATTTTCAGGATTTTAGAAGTATAACCGAGGCAATTACCGTTATCTACAGAAATTTATTTCAGGCGTGACGATAAAGAAATGAGGCGTGTGAATAAAAAGCACATGCTTCCGCATATGCAGGAATATAAGCTCAATTAACCAACTCATCACTGCCCAGACTCAATTGCACATCGTTGCCTCGAACAGCGACTACTGGAAAAGAAGGTAATGCAGCTATATAGATGAACTCATATATGTATAGTACCGTTTACTAGTTGATATTCCGGTGAAAGGTCTTTCATGTCTCAGGCTTACAGAGCTATGTGTTTTCTGTGATGAAGTTCGAATTTTGTTTTGATTTACCAGGCGATCCAATAATTTAATTTTCAACTTTCAGATTCTCGCCAATCTCATACAAGATGAAGTCGACATTGGCTCTACTGCTGGTGGCTCTCGCCCATGCTGTGCTGGCAACAGAGTTCCAGGATTGCGGTGAGTTGATATTAATCATTAAAATAATCAGTTAGGACCTCCGAAATCAGACATATTCTGCTACGTGCTACCAACAGTAGTTCTGGAACAGATTTGAGTTAACAATACTAGAATAGCGTAGCGCATTTGAAACATATACTCGTACATATGCGAATTGAGAAAACTCTTCCAGGAAAGTGCTTTCGTAGAATCTAACTTTAAACGAATTCAAATGTTTTGAACCTTTATGCATAGGTGTTTGCGAGAGAGAGACAAGAAAGAACAGAATATTGTTACGTGAATTCGACTTAAGCTGAGCACTTCTAGGGTTTATAACGTTTTTAGGTTCGGAAGCGTTGACCGTGGCACTTGAGGTGGAGAGTTGCGACATTCCTCCTTGCATCGTCAAAAGAGGCGACACGCTCAGCGCCACCATCCTCTTCACTGCTGGTAATGATGGCAGGAAGACCAATTCAAAAAATATTCCTAATTCTTATTATTTTGCTAGGAAACGTAGCTTAAGTAGACGCATTTGTAGGTCTACTTAAATAAAAAATTGCCATGGCATGCATCATGATAGATAATATAATACGCAACAGCTCTCATCTATTTTGCAACGTGCAATATTGTGCTGTTCTTACTTGCCTCATGTGTGATCAAAGTCTCTATCGTTCAGACCACGACGTCGAAACGATGACCGCGGCTGTAACGGCCAACATCGGTGGCATCGAAGTGCCGTGGCCCGGCTTCGATGACAACGCTTGTGCGTACCTTCTGGACGGTTGCCCTGTCGCTGGAGGTTCTCTGGCAAATTGGACTTATCCTGTCGAAGTTCTGCCTGAATATCCTCCGGTGAGTCATATTTTTATTGTTATTATATCTTGACGTATGCGCCGCTATGAACACAATACTTGTCAATATTCAAATCGAGGTTTGCTCTAACTCTAATTTGTAACTCACTGAGTATTACGAAAATTGTAATACGGAGAGACGTCGCAGAAAGATCATAACAAAGAAGATAAACTTCACATATCCGAGATATCGAAGAAACGCGAAAATCTCGGTTAATTCCTGAATATCATATTTGGAAGCAGCAAGAGATCTTCATAACTAACCTGGCCATGCAAAGTCAATACCATTAGTCATCTATAAAATCATACTCTTAACTTATCAAAGTCTAAGTCTTTATAAATGAGCCCTAGCAGTTTCCATGTGATAATGCAGTTTAAACTATCTTCTAATGGTGCTGTCGACATTGCTTCTTCTCTACGTGGTTAAACTTAATAAATAATTTAAATTTTTCTTAGATTACGACACTTGCCACCTTCCGTCTCCTGCACGACGGAGATGTGCACGACGAAGTCTGCCTCCAGGTGCCCGTCACAATTGTGTGATTTGTCGTTCTAGTGAGTGGTATGTCAGGCATGTGCATGAGAAGGACTAATAATGAAGGATAGTAATATTTTTTTTGTCACAAACTTTGTTGGTGATGTTAACCTGCGGCCAGCACAGCCAAGGGTATATTACTGCACTTTGTCATATTATTGAGTATTTGGAGCCGTAAATGCTGCGAATTTGTTGGCTTGTCACGTGCGGCAATCGATCATGTTGCATATCCGTTTTTAGCGGACCCGAAGACCTTTAAAACGCTTATAAATACGTAGAAAAATTAAAACAGGAACTGATTCCATATATGATCGTATGGAATGATATATACGGTGTGGTGGACAACGAAGAAATAGCGAAACATAATATACAGTTCATTCACAACTTCTCTTTTTCTTTTTCCTTGGGATCGATATTAACAGTCGCGCTAAACAACTCCAACAACAGGAGTTAAAGGTGGATACGATAAAATATGATGATGGTGATGGGAGTGTTAAATGAAATCTATTATGCGAATGTACACGCCCGATGTATGCGTGATGATCGCCTTGTTCTTAGGTAGCAATTAATAATAATTAATCTTCAGCAGTCCCTTTTTCTCCGTCCATGATTAATTTCAGCTTTGAAATTCAACACACGAAATTCTCGAAGCCATATGTTCAGTAACATATTGAGCAATATATGGGGACTTTCCTGGGAACAACAGCTGACACATTCCTTCCACTTCCTATATGGGTTGATCCCCAGCAAAAATACTGGCCTATGAGATACCACAAAACAATACTGGCAACGAGAAATCATTTTTATGAAAGGTTTAATATTGTTTCACATAGGAATTCGTTGAGACCATCTGAATGGAAGTTGAAGAGAACAATGCTTTGGATAAGGATTCCAGTTAGTGTTATTCCAGCATCATGACGCCATACCAGAACGTTTATATACTGTAAATTGAAGAAAAAGCTGTTAGTTTTTGCGTTCATTCGCAAATGAAATGCAAAGAAGAACATTCTAAAAAAAATTTGAAACGGGCTTCAGGTATGCGATTTATGAGCAAACTTAACTAAAAGTTTAATAGTTCCAAAATTCTAATATGATTTTTTTAGTAAAATTTAGTTTTTCGAAGTAGAAATGTTATTTGAGGGACTGTTGTGATGGTGCTACCGGATCTCACGTCTTTGCACAGTGACTCGAGAAAAATATCAACATTCTCCTAATGTATCTATATACTGCCAATCGCTCTCTATGTTTCAATGAAATATTCAGACAATCACAGAGTTTGAATACAAATATACAGGAGCTACGATCAACCCGCTAATGGTATTGACTCTGCATGGCCAGGTTAGTTATGAAGATCTCTTGCTGCTTCCAAGTGTGATTTTCAGGAATTTACCGAGATTTTTGCGTTTCTTCGAAATCTCAGATATATGAAGTTTATCTTCTTTGTTATGATCTTTTTGCGACGTCTCTCCGCATTAAAGTTTTCGTAATGCCCAGTGAGTTACAAATTAGAGTTGGAGCAAACCTCGATTTGAATATTTAGAAATAATAATTTCGAGATAATGACTATTATATTACCTCTTTGAATTAAGAATAATGAAAGTAGTTACAAATTTTGTACCCAGAAAATGAAATAGATATGTCTTTAATAGCTTAACTGCGAAAATATATTTGATAATAGACGAATGTATTGAAAACAATATTTATATTACTGAAAGTGAGAGCCCAACAATCATTTGAATTCTAGTTCACTAATGTATATAATTAAATAAATAAATAAAGATTCTCCCAAGGGCCTTCGAAAGAATCCCAATTTTTCAATTTCGATAATGCACGCGGTCACAGCACCTTGCGATGCTTCATATCCGTCATTTCTGCGAGCTGTCTTAAATTTTCTAGCGGGAAGTTCGCTTTAAAATATCGCATTTGATTTCCGCTAAGCTGTACACGACAAGAGATTGCCGTTCGGTGTTCAAAGCGGATGGAACATTTTTGTGTCGGCACCAGATATTCTTCTGCTTGCCTTCGCATACAAAAGGAATTGATAGTAATTGAGAACTCAGCCTACGCATTTTGATTACTTCTGCTTTTTCGAATACTTTTTTTTATGAGATAATTCTATTCCTTCCGAGGCATGACAAAACATAACAGATACACACCAGCATAGGTTAAAATATAATAAATAAATATAATTAAAGTAAAAGAATTAGCGGAAGCAAAATTTTTCCCAACATTGCAAATATGTTCATGCATGATTGGTCAAATAATTTTACAGCTTGATAATTTTTATTGAAAAGTCAGGTCGCACAGAAAACTTTTGTCTGGTAATCTCTTCCTTTTAGAATGAATATCTTCTAGAATCTAGAGCTTTGAAATATTTTTAATTTTTCCAGCTTTGTCATATTTATACGCATGCATGTGGTTACGACGCACGTCTCTCCACAAAGAACCTGTTGTGCTACGGATTGCTTTAATGCAGTCTATCATTAATATGGCGCATCCGCCGGGGCAAGCTCGACAATTGCGTAGAGCGATGCTTCATCAACATGAGAGCTTCTGTCTCCTGACAAAACAGCCGCTCAGATTCAGACGAGATAAGAAGAGCCTTCGTCTCGCCAAAACCTGTCAAAAAATGCGAGTGCAGCTCCTCCATATACGAGTAAAAAGGACCGCCATTTTCTTGAATCGCATTTGCTTCTCCACGGCAAGAAGATCCGAGGATTTGAAAATGCATTCTTCCACGCCGGGACTTTAGGCCAGGAAACTTGCGGCATTAGATGTGTTTTACGTTTAAATAAAATCCTCAATTTCTTAATTTTTTTCTAATATGGTTTAGAAAATCCTAGAAATGTTTACTTATTTTGGCATTGTCTGTGTCTTTTGAGCCGGATACAAGAACTTAAGCAATGTAAGCAATATTATTTTATATTGCCAGCAATGTGTTGCCAATGCTCTAAAAGTTGAGGTTCCAACAGCTGTCACTCCGATAGGCTTCGCAATCTCCTGCAAAGACTTCACCAAGCCTGGAATGTTAAGAGAATACACTTTTAATCTGATCCGCAGCTTTTTATTTCTCATACACTCATGAATTTAAGTTAATTACAACGAATTTGTTTTCATTTAGATGATCGCCTGTTTCAGTTAACTATTTATATATGCTCATAATACGAGCATACGAGTGCCATGCACGAATGCTTGTTGCCACATATCCGTTTATGTATAAGTAAATAATTATGCTAAAATAATTGCTCACATCGTAAACTAATTTCCTTGAGAAGTATTTGGAAGACCTGCACCTTTAAGAACTATACGAGTGCCATGCACGAATGCTTGTTGCCACATATCCGTTTATGTATAAGTAAATAATTATGCTAAAATAATTGCTCACATCGTAAACTAATTCCCTTGAGAAGTATTTGGAAGACCTGCACCTTTAAGAACTTAAAGGTGCAGGTGTTCAAAATTATTCAAATCAGGAAAGTGATGTTTAAGAATTTTTTGCTCGTGAAAATTTTTATTTGGCAACAAAATCTATTGCGTGAAGCGTTATAAACTTTGGAAATAAGACTAAATAAAGCATGGTATGTAATATTATATGCGATTTTATAAAAACTGCCTATAAATTTGAAAGATGTCCTCAAACTAAACCCTTTATTGACGAGGAGCACGAATCGAGAAGCCCGACATCATTTAGTGATGGCAACAACATTCCTATAAAGTGGCATTTGAAATTTGGTAATAGACAAATACATAAATGTATAGCCAATTATAATAGACAAATACATAAATGTATAGCCAATTATAATAGACAAATACATAAATGTATAGCCAATTATAATAGACAAATACATAAATGTATAACTTTGTATGTGCTCTTCTTAAGTGCAGGGCAGACTTTTGATCTAGAATTCAGCCAGCCAACCGATGCGGAATTCAAACAAGATGGACGGGAACCTTGACACAGACTTCCGTGAAGGAAATATCCTCGTTCAGCATCTTGAACGTCACGATCGTGCTAATCTGCAAATATTAAACATGAGATAGCATTTGGCATCAGATTGCAGTAGATTTAATTCTTAGTGTTCGTAGGTATTGATGAGTCGTTGGTTACTGCCGTTATTGCCAAGAGACATAATTTGTAGAATTTTGAATTGTCTTAACAGTAAAAATACAAAAATTCGAATATTCCTTCAATTTGGTCTAACTTTACTGCAAATATCTTTGATTTACCTGGATAGTAAACAATTCAATCACACAATATTTCCTATCAATTAAAATATATTCGTGGCTCTCTAAATTTATTGTAAAGATTGAATAATACTCACGGCAGGATAGGCTTCAAGGACCTAAACTTCATACCCCCAGCAGAGTGGCAATACTCACGGCAGGATAGGCTTTAAGGACCTCCACTTCATACCCCCAGTGGAGTGTCAATACTCACGGCAGGATAGGCTTTAAGGACCTCCACTTCATACCCCCCAGTGGAGTGTCAATACTCACGGCAGGATAGGCTTTAAGGACCTCCACTTCATACCCCCAGTGGAGTTGTGTTGATGCCGTGAAGGGACATTTGCTCGAAGATAAATGCCGACAAGCGTCCGTGTCGAAACCTGGCCACGGCACATCGACTGGGCCAATCAGGGCCGTGATGCTGGCAGTGAGGCGGGTGCCATCATTCTCTGTATAGGGTATGTTGTTCAATGTCTGTTTTTATAGACTGATTTCTCATACTGAACCTTTGAAAAACTGCTTTCATTTCTATGTTAATTTGAATTTCACGGCTTCTACAAAAAATTAATCACAAAATTTTAAACAGTCGAAAGTTGCTTGTTAAAGAACTATTAAACTATTACACATGAATGTATGAAATCTTTAACGAACTCGGGTAGAAGTCAAGCGTCACGTTGAAGGAGTCGCCACGTTGGAAAATGCAAGGCGGGACATCGCAGTTAGGGATACCCAGCACTACGTTCGAGGCGGCAGACCCTGTTCAATATTGTATAATTGGTGGGTGATCGAATATGTTTTATGTTTTCTAATTAATTAATACGTGGAAAAGAAAGAAAATTCAGGACTATGCATCGAAGTTATCGAATTTTGATACATAAATGTCAGTATAGTGTCAATGGTGTTAATGACACATCAGGTGTCACTGAACATAAACCGCACCTAACTGGCCACTCATCAATAAAAGCTGCTTAATACTGGCCAGAACTACGGTTTTTAGGGTCGATTTACTAATAATAACAACGAAGTTATATTATTAGTGTAAGTCTATAAAATAGAGCGTTTATATTGATAGTCGGCGACATAAGAACTGTGGCGTACTTAAGTGACGTTGACCTCAGGGCCTATACTTTCAAAAAAAGTTAAGAGATCGTAAGCTCATCTGCCAATCATTGACGGCCTCTCAAGCAATATCCATCAATCATAGACAAGATATAGTGCGTAAGTACTTACGTTCACTTAGCGAGTTTTGAAAGTATGTGTTCGAGGCGGCAGACCCTGTTCAATATTGTATAATTGGTGAGCGATCGAACATGTTTTATGTTTTCTAATTAATTAATACGTGGAAAAAAAGAAAATTCAGGACTATGCATCGAAGTTATTGAATTTTGATACATAAATGTCAGTATAGTGTCAATGGTGTTAATGACACATCAGGTGTCACTGAACATAAACCGAACCTAACTGGCCACTCATCAATAAAACTGCTTAATAGTGGCCAGTACTACGATTTTTAGGATCGATTAACAAATAATAACAACGAAGATAGAATATTAGGGTTAGTATATCAAATAGAGCGTTTATATTGATGGTCGGCGACATGAGTACTGTGGCATACTTAAGTGACATTGACCTCGGGATAGTAGTTTGTATTCTAGTAACGGCAGTCGTTTCTAACCCCCACTTGAGATACCTGAAATTCCCGCATTAAGGCTTTCAGGTACACTCTGTTCTAAAGGTATTCTTGAAATGTTCATCCTGATAAAAAAAATTTGTAAACAATAAAAGCAGCTCGATTATTATTGATAAATAGTTATTGTTAAAACCATTACTGAGCGATGAATTACTCACCACAATCCTGGTATTCGGTGGCGGCTGCGCAGCTCAATGCGAAAAGGAAGATTACAATGCGCATACTGGCTACACTCTGATATGTCTGATTAAATAAAAACGAACGTTGCTTTTGATGAAACCGATTATTCGATGGATTGGTGGGTAATAATAGTCTGATAGAAATATAAAATCCATGTTTAAGACAAAGAATGTATTTCATAATTTGCTGGGAAATAAGTGACCTCAAATATTGCAAGGACTGGTTCCCACGCAGTTCAAAAATATTTGGAATGCTTCCTAACATTAAGTTCATTTTACTGCTCACAAGCAATCAATATTGTGCTACTAATAAATGAAATCACATGTATTCGCTAAAATTGATGTTGCTTTGAAACCAAACTTCACAAACAGGACTCGGTTAAAACTTGTTAGTATTTCAGCATGCATCTGTTAAATGTTACAATGGCTGTGAGCCGAAGCCTATATAGATAGGGGTAATATTTAATTACGGCATCACAACACTCACGATCACGCCAAAAGTTTGAGGAAAAGTTTGACATCACTTAGGTGCGTGCTCAAGGTTTAAAGCAAATGCTACATTACATCATTCATGCTCATGCTCAAGTTTTAAAATAAATGCTGCATTACACCACTCATGCTTACGCTCCAAAACGAACATAAATGCTGCATTACACCACTCATGCTCACGCTCGAAAACGAACATAAGTGCCACATTACACCACTCATGCTCACGCTCGAAAACGAGCATAAATGCCACATTACCCCACTCATGCTCACGCTCGAAAACGAACATAAGTGCCACATTACACCACTCATGCTCACGCTCGAAAACGAACATAAGTGCTGCATTACACCAACATGCTCACGCTCGAGGATTTGAACCCGGACACTCGCCTCTTCAAAGTCCTAAAATCTGAACCTCGAAGTAGGATTACTCTTTTATAGACATTATCTGCCCGACACCTGCGTCCGGGAAAAATCTGGCCACATTTGCTTAAAAATTAAAAAATAAGCAATGAATAAAATGTGTGAATATCTAAACTTTTATCAAGGGCCACGCAGCTCGAGCTTGTGAACAGGACTGCCATGTGCCACCTGGAGCGTTTGAAAAACCCACGTCGTCCTATTGATAGCATGAAAAAATTTCTTATTTCCGTGTTATGGTGAGAGTTTAAATAAATTTAATGTAGCCCTTATGGTATGTTTTGCCATGGGTTAATCATTTTTATTATCATAAGATCGTATTTTTAGCGCATTTTATCATTTATGAAAAAAATGCACTATTGTGCTCGTCATGTCCATCTGTCTGTCCGTCCGTGACTTCACGTTTCCGTCGACGAGAAAATGCGCTCTCTGTCACTAACTGCAGTGAGTAATGAGTTATTTTTTATTTAATGATAGCTGTATCTTGAAATTACGAAGAAGTACGACTTCTTTCATTACATTTTTGAAATTAAATACATTACCCAGTAGTACCATAGATATTATTGGTAATGATTGGAACTGTGTTTATTGTTTCTATACGTAGTGATCTATTTTACCTCGTTGTATCTTACGTTATAAATGGAAACTTTAAAAGTTAGTTGGAGGTGAATTTCGGCTTCAAACTAACAACTAAAGTGTGACATGAGCTTCAATTTCTGATGAAAAAATGTGACATTTCCCAAAATCTTATGACATCCTAATCCACGGTCAAGCTGGTGCGCCGTCTTGTTTAACGTGAATTTGTAGTTATGAAAAAAATTGAGCTTCCCTAGTATATGAGACTTTCCGTAGTGTCAAGATCTCCAATTGCGATTTTTGATTAAATCGTTGAGTATGGCGTGACCCTCCAGGGTTGCCAGATTACCTGAAAACGGCCAAGTCCACGGACTAAAAGGCTTATAATTCAATATTTACCGGTAAATTCGTAGGTTCCGGTGCAAAAATTAAGTTTTCACTTTTGTAATACTTTTTAAAAATATAATAAGGAAGAATCGACATCATAATTTTTTGCCGGACAACGCAAAAATAAAATAAAATAAATTGCGGACTTTGTCCGGAAAGAAGACCCTACAACCCACCGGCTGGTCGTGCTGCACTAAACGTGTTAAAGAAATAGAGAGAGTGCTTCACAAAAATTTCACAAAATAAGAGAACTAAAGTCAGATTTTTAATGTAAAGAATAGCTGAGACAAAAAAGACAATAATTTTCAATGTATTAATAAAATTTCAGCTTTCACCTGACGGCGTTCGTACGTCTTTCATGTTTATTATCACCACGTTACTTTGACTGACAATATAAACTGTCAAATGTTAATTGATATAAGAAATTTTTGATTCGCGTAAGAGAAATTGAAATTACTCACTCTGATTATTAATCACAGCAAAGCTTTAGCAAATTTGATAAGATTTTAAAGGAGGATTCGATATTTGAAATAAACTCATGGTGCTCTTTAGCAGTTCAGTTTTAATGTTTGTTGGATAAGATACCACAATTAAGGAATACGATCTAACGCGAATCGTATTAAATACCAGTTGACAACAACCAGTTAACGATAGCAAGTACCAGTTAATGATAGCAAGTACCAGTTAATGATAGCAAGTACCAGTTAATGATAGCAAGTATCAGTTAATGATAGCAAGTACCAGTTAATGATAGCAAGTACCAGCTAATGATAGCAAGTACCAGCTAATGATAGCAAGTACCAGCTAATGATAGCAAGTACCAGCTAATGAATGAGTCGCATCGGCTGCTTGTATAACAGAGCCTATGGCGTAAATGTGATGTTCAGCACAAGAATACGTCGTCTCGGCGACACCCCATTAACGTGGGCTGATTAACGTTCTCTCAAGCAGCTGCAAACACGAAGACTAATTAAAAAAATCGTGGAGACAATGTGAAAAGATTGAGACGTGAAAAGCAAAATAGTGGAAGAGGAGGCCGCACCGAATCTTAATGAACATTAATTCACGAATATTAGTTTTCAGGCACGTTGAAGGAAAGCTTAGAATTGCAATTTATAACCAATGCTGAAATCTTCATAAGAAGTGTAGAAAGATATGAAAAGACATGTATATATGCATAAAAATATTGTTGATAAAAAAATATATGTGTTGCACGAGTACTTCGTTGCAGAAGGATGAAGTTTTAACTATAGCTTATGCAGGCAATAAATTCTTCAGGCTCGATGTTATAATTCAACTTCAACCGCAGTAAACGATGCTATAGTTAATAGTATAGCGTAAGTAACAGATGTATAAGCCGCATACGATACCTTAAGCATGTTTGCTATTCAGCTACGATGGTTAGTGGCTATACAATTGGCTATACAATTATTTCAACAATAATGGAATCCTATGGGAAAACATGGAATCCAATGTTTGTTTACCGTTGGTTAAGATTTGAGCAGTTTAGTAAAAAATATATTAGGCTTTTCTCTCTGTATTCCGTAAAAACGACTAAATATTGTACACAACGTGTCAAAAATTTTCCCAATTGCAGATGTCCTTGTTGCCCTCTACCAGCCGCTTCACCGCCGTCCGACTAGAGCCGGTGTCAGGTCCGCACGCGCAGAATGCAATCCACGTCAGAGCGTCCGGACTTTTTGATACGCGCGAGTGAATTTTTTTCTTTTCATAATTGGTTTCAAGAATTGTGGTGTCAGAAGCACCTCTCAGCCTGATGCCTGTTAAAGCTGTGGGCGCGATGCGTGAAAGGGTATGAGCAATGACCATTAAATTGAGAGAATTCCCAACTAGAAGAGTTGCCCAAAGTGAGCTGAATTGTTTCCAACTGATTGCTTTGATCAATTTGGAAGAGGTGCGTGCGTGTCGAAATGTTGAACTTTTCTCGTTTAGTCTTATTTACAAACGCCGAAAAACCAAAGTAAATTTGCAACCGAATATCTCTGATTTGCATCATTTGGTGTAAAATATTCTATCTCTGGGGATCATGAATTTGAACAAGATTAGTTTTATTCAGTTCAATAAAGCTGGGATCATCAACTAATAAGTTTTATTTTTATGGCACGGGTCGAAAATATTCATAAAAGAATTCAGCCCCTCCTATTCATATGAGCGAATATAATTTTAATTTCGAAATATGGACAGAAGATGTGCAAATAAGAGCAAACAAACGCAAAATGCAAATTAATGCAAACAAATATTTAAATTTACCGTCGTATGAAGTATTTTAATTTGCAACTCTTAACGAGAAATCATCAAAATTTAATTTCTGTGTGGAACAAGGATTGTGGGCATGAATTTAGTCGAAAAAAAAAACTAAATAATTTAACGGAAAATTAACTGTTAATTTTAATTATAAATTTTCCAATTGTTTCTCATTCATATGTAGTTCCTTTGACCACAACTACTAAAACGCTGAATTTAAGCAATTTTCTACAATTTACAACATCCTGGGCAGCACTTACCGAATGAATACATAAAAGCAGTCATATCTCTTACGATTTCGTGACGATTTTGATCGTTTGAAGGTACAAACGGCATCGAACGATCGTTTGATCATTTAAAGGTATAAGCAGCATCGACTGATCGTTTGATCGTTTTAAGGTACAAGCGGCATCGGCTGATCATTTGATCGTTTGAAGGTACAAGCGGCATCGACTGATCGTTTGAAGGTACAAGGGGGATCGACTGATCGTTTGAAGGTAAAAGCGGCATCGACTGATCATTTGATCGTTTGAAGGTACAAGCAGCATCGACTGATCATTTGATCGTTTGAAGGTACAAGCGGCATCGACTGATCATTTGATCGTTTGAAGGTACAAGCAGCATCGACTGATCATTTGATCGTTTGAAGGTACAAGCGGCATCGACTGATCGTTTGAAGGTACAAGCAGCATCGACTGATCGTTTGATCGTTTGAAGGTACAAGCAGCATCTTGCCAAAAATTCGAAGGTTTTTATTTCGTCCCGGCCGCTGCCGTGCTCGGTCAAACGGAGTAGTTTTTCATGAGCCTAATTCCAGGCCTGGCAACTTTTGTTGACAAACGTCAACAACTTTTGAACATTCTAATGGCTGTTATTGAGAGCAAAGAAACGTTAGTTATGTCTTATGGGCAATCGATGTGTGTGTGTGTGTGTGTGTGTAGTGTCGAGGCCTCTACCGTAGGCCTGCCCAATGCTGATCATATGGGCATTAAATCACATCGCTTCGCATGCGTTGAATTGAGCTTATAGTCAATGAAGGTGATGAAGTGGGAATTTATAACGCATAGCTTTTATTATGTTATAGCACGA